AATTTAAACAAAAAGCCAATTAATATCTCGTATATAAAGTTAACTTGCACTTGCCTCACTACATGTACTGTTATTTTTTTCATAATTTGAATGGGAGGGGGGGGGGCATACATATAATTTCTCCTTAGGCCCTCCAATGGACTAGTGCCACCACTGGCCAGGAAGCAATGACCAACCCTTGCAAACGATTACATCACAGGGTTGGTTTATATTACTCTCTCCACAGCAGTGTTGCTAAGCAATAATTCCCAGCAAAAAAATTGTAGCCTGTAAGCTAAGTTAACGACAAGCATAAACACAAGGGAGGAAACAGGTTTATATCCCCCCCCCCCATGTTCAAAGTTATAATTGCCTTCATTGTGAGTCCACACCTCGTGATGGACTTTCACAAAACCAACACGGGGTGGGGGGGAAGTCTATCCATGTGCAAAACACTTTTCCAAAAAAAAGCTTACCACCAATAACTCGATATCTAGATCACAAACGTACTGCCAGGCCCAGGAGCTAAGAGAGTTCTAGGATGGGTGATCACCAGACTACGGGTCTACATGTTGGGCAGCAGAGGGATTAGTGCAGCTAAATCCATCGTTATCCATTGTTATACTTCACGTTAAGTCTATGATATCCGCCTTCATAAAACCGCACTCACCAGCGTGGTGAAGTGGGGTCAAATAACCCTCACGACCTCGCACCGCCGTGGCTCTCATCCAGCAGTAGATTGACAAAAGGGGTTTGTGTACGTAAACTGCAGTAGGCTGCATATGAATACATCAATCATTTAAAACACACATCCGGTTAAATTTTGATTTAAAGCTTTCGTGACTGCAGTAATCCATATTCTTTGTGTTATGGTCGAAACGTCGTGAGAATTTTTATTGTTTTATATATATTTTATTGTTTCCCTTCAACGTGACTTTACCGAAAGAGCTAAGCATACACATCCGGTTGTCAATTATCTGAACTTACACACGAGAAACATTTGGCATTACATTTAACAATAACGTTTTTTGTCTTGTTCTTCCAACAAAACGGTACTCAATTTAGCGTCCCGACGTGCACGTAGGCACGGTGGCTGGCACACCGTCACCACCAATCATCCAAGAAATTGGAACAAAAATTACAACAACAAAAAAACCGAAACTCAACGCGCCTCTGGCCCCCGAAACGGCGAAGTTGAACAACCGTTAGTGAAATACTCTTTGGTTATTTCTGGTAAAAAGTCAGAAAGCACCAAAGATTATGGATTCCTGCAGTCACGAAGGCTTCAAATCTAAAAAGATTGAACCGTTAGTCGACTCGAGCATTCGATGCGACCCATGGTGGAATGTCACCCAAGCCACGGCCACACAACAACTCGACACTACTGCAGGACACGTAATCGTTGAGCTGGGGGAAAGAGACAATGTAACAACAACAACGCCGATGCCTTTAAAAAAAAGTATACAAAATAAAAAAAATGACCGTTTAAATATATGCAAAGGCAGAAGGGGCGACGTTTCGAGCAATGAACCTATCTTCATTAACTGACAAAAGGCCGGTTTGTTGCGACTGTGGTAAACCAGAGCATGGGACCATTAGCACGGTTGGCTAGGTACGGTGCGAAAGAAGTTTAACATGCATACACAAGTACAATAATTAGGTTGTAATCACAGCAGGCGATGCACGGTTCCGCTACGCCTCCCGACGCAATACTCGGTCACCGCAATGTAAAATTACAGTTTTGTTGCGCTGTACTATCATCATCATCACCCACACGAAGTAGAGGCCAAAAGTTGTACAAAGATCCCACCGTATAGGCTTAATAGACTGCCTGGGCAAGCGTTGTTAAGAGAGTAACAGCACCTATGAAGGCCGGCACTGCACACGAGGGACGGGGGGGTGAGTGGCCAACACCACGCCCGGCCGCCTTTGTCTCCCCAGTGACGACGTCCACACATCGCAACAAGAACTCAATTGAGGCCGAGTGGACCTAAGGCACATACAGTAAGAGTACACAGAGGCGTAGGGTGTACAGTACGCAGCCGCGTCCAACCCGGCGCGATTCGTGTACCCCTTGCATCGGTAATCATTACTACTACGACAACATCATCATCATCAACAACATCATCATCATCAACAACATCATCATCATCATCAACAACAACAACATCACGACTGTGACGAGCGGCAGCGCAACGGAACTCGCGAGGGTTTCACCTGCGTCCATTGCCGGATGAATGAAACGTCGCGACCGAGGGCGACTCCGTGCTGCAACTCCGCTCGCTGTCGCCGCGACTCAAATAGCAGGGGGGGGGTGGTGGTGGTGGGGGTAGCGGGGGGGGCGTGGGGGGGGGCGTGGGGGGCGTGGGGGGGGCGTGGAGGGTTGTGTAGGGCGGGGGAGGGACGAGAGGGGTTTGGGGGCGTGGCAGGGGGGGGAGTTGGCTCACGTTGATGACGTCACCGCGCTGAAGAATTCCCCCGTGACGGCACGGCGGCTCGACGTCATCGGCCTGCGTCGTTGGCGCCGGCGGATGCGACACGTGGTTCGCACGTGGTAGTGGTGACGTGGGCTGGGGGGGGGCTCGCACGTGGAAACGCCGAAGGCCCCCACAAGGGGCGCGCTAAAATGTTTAAATCAAGCATCGTCGTAAATAACGTTTGTGTACAATGTACACACATGCATGTGTACACACGCACTATTCAATGCATGGTAAGTTTGATCATTGTATCTGATCTTTAGGCGACGTTTTGGACAGTTGCCATACGCAGTACATGCGATCAGTAGCGTAACTCAATTATCAGCTCAGGAGGTGCGGCAGTTAGTTAGGTGTGGCCCCAATTCATGATTTGTCTCGCGCGGTCTCACCTAGGCTGTATATATCACGGCTCTTACCCAATCACATCATTGCGCTCACGGTCTCGAACATTTAATGCTGTTAGGGGCGCTCCGTCTTTGCAAAAAAATGCAGTCACTACAACTCCGTAATATGGGGTTGTCAAAGGAGTCCCAACTCGTAGCTTTGACCACTAGGGGTGGGCGGAAATGCACCCCTGCTCCCACTCGAATTACTCTAACAGTGATGAAGTGTTGATTGGGTGGATGATGACAGTGTACAAAACAGGTGTATTAGGGCTTGTGGAAAGCAAAGCGGAATGTAGTAAAATCAATAGTTTTGCGTTACCACTACCTACAAATCCGCACTCACCAACATGGTCAAGTATGGTCAAGTATTTCGCACCAACCTCAAGGGCTCAAGTGCATTGGGAGGCCCTCTGCACGCAATTAATGGTTACATGCTGAATATATATTTCGGATGTTGCTTTGTTTTCATAAGCACTGCACACAACGCAGCAATTATTTACACAAATGCGATACTCCTTTGCCAGGAATGCAGCATAAATAACAAAAACTCAACGCATTTGTCAATAGCACACCACAGGCAGAAAATTAATAATAGGCGATGTTTCGGACAGTAACTATTCTTCATATCAATACATTGTTCAGAGCAGATATCTGTTGTGAAGAATGGCCATTTGAGCGTACATGTAAAATAAATATCTTCAGGACAGTGTTATGAATAAGGGGGTTTGTTCTGTTCCGCTTATGCATCGCTGTCAACACAGTATCACATTTTCGGACGTGTGTACGGTATGTGATGAGTCGATGTGTGCAATTGCAGTCAGAAGAAACGAAAGGAACATTTGATTATATATTTGACACGCAACGATGCACACAGCCAGTTGTTTGCCCGTGCAGGTATTTGCCACGTTTGTCAGTGCAGGTTGGATGATGGTGGGGGAGCGCAGTATAATATATTGTGTTGCTGTGAATGTGTATGGGATGAATGCATGTACTATATTCTCTTTTATATTTGGCATGCAATAATTGGCCGAGTAAGACGTGTCGATAAATGCTACACTGAATGTATATCCTTGCGCTTTTTTATGGGCTATGGAGGGCACAAGGCTTGTTTGAGGAGTCTTGATTTGTGTTGTTATGCATTTGACCTGCCTTGTTTGCAGTTTGATGAATGGCTTGTGACCGCTGCGGTGTGCACAACTGTTTGCAACTCACCTGACCATACATCAACGGGATTTATGCTTTTAAAGAAACAATTGCATTTAAGAGCTTGACAACTGTTGAAATATCGTAAGGCTGTTATTCGGTAAATTGGCATTATTTATTTGGCAATAATATAACATTTGATCAAAATAGATTTCAAATTACAGTATCTCGTACTGTGTTGCATTTAAATGCCTTGGTTTGTTATTATTTTCATTTGTCCACACAGGCACTTATTTGTTAATCCATGTCAAACTGTTATACATTTTTTAGATAACAATGTATGGCCTAGTTTATAAGTAAATTCCACCTCCGCACCTCCAATTAGCACAGTTGACTTCGTACGATGCGAAAGAAGTTCAACATACATACAATTATAATACATGAATGCTTTTCACAATACGGTTCTAATAGACTGGAAACCTAGCCACGGTGGGCAGGTTATGAGGTCGTTCTGCTCTACAATCTACTCTCGCGAAGTGTACTTTACTCCGTAGGAAACACCCCACCAAAGATTTCAGCACAAGACTCGGTGCATGTGCGTCCAAGGTGCAGAAAACCCTGTACGGCCGGGATTAGTCGTGTCTATCTACCCCTTTTATTGTATTGGACTTACCCGGCAGTCAGGATCACTGGATGTGACAGCCATCATCATCATCGTTAATGTGTATTTCAGTTATTGTAAAGTTAACAGGTATACGTTGTAAATGGGGGCAGAGTGGTGGTGCAGCGGTCAGCGCTGCGTTAAGAACCCAGTGACCCAAGTTTGATTCCCGGACATGGCTGATATCAGTGGCAAGTGATATCCTGGGTCCTCTCTCCCCACCAACACAACTTGATCAGATCAGAAGTAGATTGTTAAAGGGCAGGATATTATTCTTCATTCCAGTATTGTCAATGGTAACTTCAAGTACGTAATACGGGCGCGCGGGGGGGGGGGGAATGAGAAAGGAGTCTGTTTTGTGTAAACACATTATATTTGTGCAAACATGTTCCGCTACAACAGTACATGTCAAATCACTGCCACATTATTGCAAACAAATACATCTTTCCCCACCTTCCAGCCACATCCATGGAATTACCTAAATTGACATAGTTGGGTAAGTATTGAGATAAAACGTCTAAAACACGAAAAATGCTGTTATGTGTATTTTAACATACAATCCAACCTTGTGTTTAACATTGTCCATTTCCGATGGAAATCTCGCCCAAAATGTAATGTAAACATTGTGTAGGGTTAACTTTGGAAACCTCGTAGGGTTGCAAATGATGTGAATGTAACCAAAAACCTTAATCACATTTCAGTGATCGAAAGCGCAAGTCAACAGTCGCACAAATATTGATGTATGCTGCTCTGGCTTGCAAGTATATTCAGTGCATTGAGTGTGCCATTCTGGAAATTTGGTGCATTGTCGAGGAATTGACAGCTTCTCTCAATTGCCATTTTTTTAACTTCTGAATATGTTGAGTTTAGATTGCTGTTTTATTTTAGTTTTACCTCTGAACAGCGGACACTGCTTTCCACTCATAGACAGGGCTGTGAGTTTCTAAATCAAGGCTTATCCAACAAAATAAAATCAGTTTATGGACTACATTTGACACATGTAAACGCAAGCTGGAATCCTTACAAAACTTTTCACGCCACTTACATTATAACAAAACATACAGTTTAGTTGCTAAAGCCCCGAGAAGCAAACATGTGCACTTACAAGCTCACGGATACGGTGATAACGACGCTAACGCTGTTATAATGGACACGGATCAATACACGTGAACAGATCGGAAGACTAATGCTTGCATCAGCAAGCTGGTGGCTTGGGTGAATGGTTTCTTGTTGTGAGCAGCATTTCGACAGTTGGAGCCTTTGGCTTCGTGTTTACCTGCTTGCAGTGATCCATACGATACGTGCGGTGCTAAAAAGAAGCCAAGTAAGAAATACGAGAAAACATGGAAAGTACAGAAGTTACATTTTGTCATGTGCCAGAGTTGGTGGAGTGATTTCCAAAACGAGGAAAACTATAGGAATTTTGATTATTAATCACCTAATTTCAGCCCTGTTGAGCTGTAATGATCGTCAACGTCTTAATCCAAGCTCGACACGAAGTGAAATCCAACGCGGGTTTCCCGTGCTTTCCGATGCAGGTGCGTCCGGTTGCGTTCGCGTGCCAACCGGTGGAGTGTGCACTTACCCTGGGCTACCACTGGGCAAGTGAGCTCCTCGGCTCCCGAGACGGTCCTGGGCCATTTCAGGATGGGTCCCGATGCTCGACGGTGCTTGGCATTTGTGGACTAGTCCCTTTCCTCTTCACCCTTCATCGCCTACCACCCCTTCTGCCTTTTCCTATCCTCCACTGCTGTCAGTCAAATATGTTTTTGTTGTTGTTGTTACAAAGACATTGGCACTGAATTTGACCCAAGTGAGGCACCCTTTTGACTGCACCCATCCCCGACCGTTGACCCCATGACTCTACACGTGGTTGGAATCGTGGCCCAATGCTTGGTCGCTTCATAATAACGTTTTTTTTTGGGTTAGATCGCGTCCTCTGGTCGAACACTGTTTTAAAACTTGGCTCAAAAGAAAGCCGTCTCTGGTGTGGACCAATCATTTTCAAAGACAATGCATATATTATCAGAGTACGTTTTTTGTTTGCATTCTGACCACAAGTATTGTGGTTAATGCAGACATGATTCGTTGGTAAAAGGTTTCAGTTTGGTGTTTTAACATCTTAACACCTGTTTTGTTTCCAGGACAAAGGGGAAAACCAATTCTCATATAAATGTGTCATTAACCCACCACCACCGCTCGACAGCCAATTAAGATTTGTCACGTAAAACAAAAAGGAGACAAAGAGTTACTACTTCAGAACCACATGGTGTGTTAGGAGAATAAACCTGGTACTCAAGTCTACGTGTTCAACCGGGTCCTCCTTGTTTGAAAACAAGCAGAAGAATCAGGCTGGTCTGTTCAGGTTGCCGTGGGGAATCTGAGCCGAGCATAGATTCCCGAGGCAAAACTGGGCAAAATGAAAAAGGTGCATGTTGAGCTCTTAACGTGGATTCTATATGTTTTAATCTGCATTTCAAATTGGACGAAATGTTCTTCGTTGGCTCAATTTGTGATGAATGTGTGACATCGTTATCAATCGAATGTAATTGTGAATCATTTGCACCCAAGAATATCCGCATCACGAGTCAACATGTTTACGGTCACAAACTCTCGTTCATCAATCATTCTCCATGTTTTGTCATGAAAAAAAGTCAACATCTGTGTGGCATAGAGGCAAGGACGTGCGTTGATGTTCGCGGTGTCATGTATTGATTGATATCGATTAATAATCTCACAATACATATGTAAGAGTGTTTTTCATGTGTATGTTGTACGTAATGATTTCACATTAGCCTCAATGGTAAACGAATCGCGACAATTTATTTGATCGCCGGCGGGTGTATACTTTTCCACCTTGTTGATATCCTGTCTGACCCTGTGTGTACTGAGATACAGAAATGGAATTGTCAACAGTGGATGTACACACGAGCAGCCAAGACAATGGAGGATCCCCATAGAAGTTACCAGACCCTCATGCAGAGAGAACAACCTCCATCAAAGGAGTTGTGTGTGGAGGTTCCACCAATGGCTCGGTGGAGATCAGCTCGGTCCTCATTGCTCATTATGAGCAGGGAGAGAGACCCTTTTACTTGACTTATTTGACCCAAATCGCCAGTAGATTGAAGCCATTACACAGAGAGTTGAATGTGGTAGAGGTCCGTCCCCCCCCACCCCCACAATATATGCAAACGAAAAAAGAGGCTTAAGTTCAATAGTAACCTGTACAAGATGAAACATTAATAGCACTTACTCCGGGTCGAACAATGCATCGATTCATCGGTTATCATTGATTCTTTGGCTCACGGTATAGGTGCACCAAATCACGTGCCTAAGAATACATGTTCTTCGCTCCATGTGTAAATGAAATATGGTAGTGAGATCACGCGATTATTTTATCCACGAATGGTGTTATTATTCACAACAGTCTTAAGACAGTAAAGTCACGTAGAAGGGAAACACTAATATAATAAAAATATAAAACAATAAAATTGTCACGATGTTTCGATGATGATTGCTTGTGTTGCAGTCGAAACGTGAGAATTTTATTTTATATTTTTATTATTTTATTGTTTCCCTTCTACGTGACTTTACCGAAAGAACCAAGAATATGAATCCCTGCAGTCACGAAAGTTTTAAATCAAAAGTCTTAAGACAAGAACGTTATTGAATTAGAGACCTTGCATCGTGATCATTCGGCGGGGGATTGTCACGGCGATGGAGTTGGGTGATTAATTCTGCCACACGTACTTAGCGGCTACATCAAATCATTTAAAACCAAGCGTGACAATAGAAACGGTGATTATATATTGCTAAGAACCTGTATGCTGTAACATTCAATTGTTTTGTTTTGATATAGCACAAGAAAGCTTGTGTCGCCAATTTGTTTCCTCTTTATGCGCGTAGAACATAGATTACCCATTACATCAAAAGGTTGTCTTCTCAACCTCATGGGAGAGGCTAAATCGCAACGCACCTTGCTCCAAAATGTTTGTGCCACAGTCCTGCTGACAATTTGTATATATATTTGGAAGGATCCACTGTCAAAAAATCTCGTTTTTATCAAAACCAACGTTTTGATAATTGATTCAAACGAGATGCAAGCAGTGGCTGCACTGGACCACCTGGGATGGACAATGCGTAAAGACAATGCTGGAGCACGTATAGAGGAGCTCCTGTGTCAATCAACCCCCCCCCCCCCCCCCCCCCCCCCCCAGATGCCCGGCTCCTTTCTCTTACACCTCAGACCCGAATACTCGTGGAGGGAAAACAGAGGCTGAAGAGCTGCACCTGCATTCGTGAACCAGCAGGATAGCTTCACATGAAGTGGAAGTACCTTCAGGAGACTATATGGGCTCTTTACCTGTCCTCAGCAGAGCCGACGTTGTTTGCAAATATTATCACTCACCGACTGGACGCAAACTCGGCCTTTGGCTCCCAAATTCTGTCCAGGACAATAATGTGGAACTTTGTCTTATAGGGTCATCCCAATCAGCCACACAGGTTTAACTATAACGGACCAGCCCTGTGGCAAGAGAGCTTCTCATCTGGTCAGCAATACAGGACAGTGTACACGTGTAACTTTGGTGATGTTGGATTGCAGGGAGATGATGATAAATCCATCGACCAGTTTCCTCCAAAGTGACCGGTTTTGCCGGTGCTTTATGGGTCACGCGTTACGGGGTGGACGAGGAGGTGGACCGTGTGTTTGTGTTGACCGAGGGCGCAGTAATAACTGGCATGGGATTGAGTGTGTGTGCGTGTGCTGTGGGACACCACAGAGGACACAGCCCGTAGAATTACGCGCGCGTGTACGTCAAAGCCATAGGCACTGCCTTGCGTAGGACAGGTGATGCGGCAGGGGAGAAGGGCCCGGGATAGCGTCTCTTAACGAGATCAACTATCAAAGGTGGCGCAGGGGCCGCCGAGAGTAGGAGTGCATTGTGGGTTACACGCAGTGTGCCATCGTGGGAAACCACCACAAAGCACTCGCGGGAAGACTCGTGTGAGTGTTTTGAGGCCGTAGACAAGAGGGCGGGTTAGGACCTCGGTTTGGTGGGGGTTAGCAACGCGCGACCGTGGGCGTCTGAGCGAGCGCAGCGAGGCGCACCGCGCAACGCCGGCTGGATGGCGTCTCGGGGCGGTGAGTGAGCCCGTCGGTATATTGCCGGGTCGCAACGCCAACCTGCAGTGTGACACCCAGCGTCCCGAACAAGCCCCCGGTGACACCGCGCAGAGCCGGTGATGGGCGTCTGCCAGCGAGGCATTGCCGGTGCGCCGTCGCGAGCCAAGCGCTCTTCGGTGGCGGACCGGAGCGGGAGCACGAGAACCATTGGGGCTTGCAGCTGATGTTTCTGCCAGATGTACCGCCAGAGCACCCGTGGGGAAAGAGCACCCCCACCCCCCAAGGCCCCCTGAACTCTCACCCTTGATCCCCCGCGAGCAGACGCCGAGTCTGGCGCGTCCGACGTTCCGGGCGCATCCGACCCCCCTGGTGCGACGAGCCCGTTGCGCTGCAAGAGCTTTGTTGTACGAACACGGTTCACGTCATTGCACGCTGTTGAAACTCCTCTACTCAGTATTGTGGGTGTAGAACTGCGAGAGGGTCTATAGTTGAATTTAAATGAAAGAGGTCAACATTTCCTTCGCATACATATATGTACATGTATATATACACATCCATATACAGCCAAGTCTTAAGTATTCACGTGTTTACATGTAGATACATAAATACTGATGCACACATAGGTGTAGATACATAACTACAAATAGATACATTCAAATAAGGCCGGCACGACAGCTGGCAGCCTTTGTCTGCTCAGGTGCTGATTTTCACTCTACACCAGGTGCTCATTTAAGGTTGAGTTGACCCAGGGGAGACTCTGGACAGGTTAAAGTATTCGCCACTGGCGTTATCCGTGGCCGGGGATTAAACTCCGATTTTTAGGCTTTTGTAGCGCAGTGCGATAACCACTCTGCTACAAACCCGCGCTATAAATGCACTCGTATAATACATGTAGATACATGTACACACGAATACACATGCACCATCCTTGCACACGCACTTGGTGTAGAACGATGCATCAGTTCAATTACAATCTCAGTCTCATGCTCACGTATGTTGTATGCATTTGGTTCCTATGCCTCCTGCAGACATTCGCGATGCCACACGGACAACAATAACCCATTCTTTGACTTGACTCGCGACTGAATGCATGCCGACTCGTCGAATTTGGAAGAATCCATACGTGGATAACCCACATATATATTCATATACACACATACATACATGCATATATACATCCATGCACATGTACCTTGACACATACACGTATACATGCATGTGCGCAGTGGTGGTTAAATATGAGGTTACGGTAATACCGCGATTTACGTCTCCTTTTGTTACACTTTGTTTCGCAAATACGTCACTTTATTATCAACTCCGCCATCCGATTTGCGTCGCCTCAACCCCACACACTCACGTCGCTGACGGCATCGTCCGTCCTTTCTCGCTGTCCGTCGCCTCTCGGCATCCGCCTCCACCACCTACCCTGCAAGTCGCTTTGATTGACGTCCTTTCGATATTCCTCCTCGCGCCTTTCAGGAATGCATCCCCCGCGTAAACCGGGGTATCAGCTCAATTGTTGCTCACCCTCATCAAATAATAAATATATAGTCTTGAAACTGAATGGGTTTAGCTAATAATAAGTACTTTTGTTGGACAAGATATCCGTTAGAGATAATCTGTGAAAATAATTATGTCGTAGTGGTGGTAGTAGTAGGATGTTTTGGCTCGGAGAAGTGGATTGCCCATGATAGGGCTCAAACCGTGCTCTCTTCTATTCAATAAATCATTACAGGATTGGTCAAGCACAATTTAATTTAAATTAACGTTGGGTTAGATATGCTACGTGTGGCTTGTAAGTGTAAATGCCCCGTGAGTATTTCGGAGTTAAAACTTGGAATATCCAATCACTCTCCGACGTGTTTTCGGGGAGATCCTCCGGATGACTTGAAGAAGCTCCAAACACGCGGAGCAAAACGCCGGCCATCGTGCCCAACAGCGCGCGGTGCAACCCGAAAAACACATCGCAGAGCCATGCAGCGCAACCGTGGAACCTACACAGTAGTATTCGGATATCCCTGTGCCCAACCCGCCTCTGGGAAATGGCCTTTCTCCCCCCCCCCCCACCGCCAATCCCACCTACCCATCATCAGTGTCCCACAATGTGAGCACAGTCCATTGGCCTAGAGGGGTGAGATCCCGAGGCAGCCTCTATTTGAGGACGTAGGCGAGCAGCGCTTGGCAGATCACCAGCACGCACAGGAGCAGCCACTCGCGATTGGACGGCCGCCTTTCCTTGGCGGCCTTTGGCACCGAGGTCTGCCGGACGAGTTCCTTCACCTTGCTGCACGCCACAGGCCGCACAGCGCCGGTTATTTGTGTTCAAAGATCTAAAAGGGACTGTTGGGATTTACATCGCAAATGTTTGTTGTTTTCTGCGCGTAAAACTCGACACCAAAGGAGAAAGTTTTCGGCGTTTTAAAGAACTGGGACATTCTTCTTGTGTCGAGCGTGTGGTGCGTAACGAGCGATGCGACCGGAACACCAGACGTGATATTTCCTCATTTGTGACAGCCACCCTTTTGTGCTGACTCGTCTATTAGAGCACAGCTTCTCAAACTTAGCAATTTCTTATTTTATTTTACCAGGTAATTGCCCACTGAGCTATACAGCTCTTATTTCAGAAGCGACCTGGTCACAAATGCTGGCTCAACGAAGTGGCTTTTCACGTGGAAATTTATAGCAGCCAAATACTCTAAAACGCAAGTTTCTAAATGTGGAGGGAAAACAGTAGGACCTGGAGAAAAATCGCAGCAACCACGGGGAGAGAGACATGCAGACTCCAAACATATAGGCATCAAGGTCGGGATCGAACCCACGACCTCCTGTATACCAAGCAAAGCAGTGAACATCTCGCCACCGCGGCGCCCCGAGCGAAACTATTTCTCGTGACAGATTATAGTTCCCCTTTTCCAATGTCACCTATCGTATGCAACACCTGACAGTTGCTACACCCATGAATGCATTTGATGTAATAGAGTGCTGATTAACGATAACAGTGCTTTCCGTCACGTATGACAGATGTACTTTTGGCACAACGTATGTTAAAAGGAAATACGAAAGTTAATTTGCGCTCCTAATTTTAACCAGCAGCGGATGACATTAATTGTGGGTTTAAGCATAAAAATCCATGTTGAACCACACGCTTCCCCTTTCAGACCCTTGATAAAGAGTTAATACATTTAGGATTAATTTGCAGTGCCTTTCGTTTGTTACTGCTAAAAACTGTGCATTGTTCAGGTCTTGCCAGAAAGTTGGCAGCTGGAGGCATCCTTACAGTGAATGGCGTGCACCTATGTAGTGAGCAGAGTGCAAATTGTTTCATATTTTACTGTTACAGGTGAGGTAGTTTGGTTGTTAATGTGCCATTATATTGAGACTTGCTCAACTTTTCCTTTATTTTGCACTGCTGTTGGTGTTGTACTGTTTGTTGTAACTTGCTCACCCGCCCATACTGGAAATCTGTGAAAAAGAACTTAATAGCTCATCGGATTCCTCCTCCAGTCTAAATAAAGATTCTGATGGGCAAGAGAAAGGTCATCCCTGGGCATCACTGTATGGTAGGTGCAGCCCTGAAATTGCTTGCTCACGCCACTGCCGGCGGAAGGGCCTCAACTCTAAGGAACACGAGTGAGCCCTTCTGTGGAGTTTACTTGGACCATTTCACGGTGGTCAGGCATCCTGGAAGAGGTGGGAGTACCCACACTTTACCCCACCTCACACGTCGTGCCCATAGACCAACGGCGTACCCATTTATACTGCTGGGTGAATAGTAGGCTTACTACAGGACCTTCATAAAACATTGCTGGCATTCGGTGACAATGGTAACCGTGCATTCCGTTGCACTACAACCTCGTTTAAATGTTACGATTCAACATGTTTTTTTTTTAAAGCTTACAGTGTAGAGAATATTTACCTGCAGATGTCATCCTGTGTTTTTCTGATGGATTTCAACACAGTGAAGATTTCCTGCATGTCCCCTCTGCCCATTTTAGTGTGGCATCTTGGTTCTGTAACAGCACGGTGTACAGAATAAGGCAACATGCAGCATTAATCACACAGCGTGACATAGCATTGCAGATTATTATTACATGTGCAACAATTCTTAAGAGACTAAAACCTGTCTCACTTCAGCTGAACTGGACATTCGTGAAGTTCTGCTAACACCACTGGACGGACATCTGTGAAAATACTGGACATCTGTGAAAACGCTTTATAGTTCATCGGATTCCTCCTGTCCAAATAAAGATTCTGATTGTGACTCCGAACACAAGAATTTTGAATTGAAAATCGTATTATGCCACTGAAATACATGTGGCTGGTGGTGATCATCTGGAGAAATAGCAATAATGGCAATTATTTAGCGAGGAAAGCCTCCCCGAGCCTTTTGGCTTTTTTTTTCTCCCCGAAGCATCCTGAACAGGGATATTTGGCCAGTACCATGAGGGGTGGTATGTGTGAGGAAAGTATGTGAGGAGTACAGGGACTCCTCTACTTACGAACGAGTTAGGTTCCAGAGGTCTCTTCGTAAGTCCTACTTTACTCATGTTGTACGGCATGTACACTAAACACGGTGAATGGATTTAAAATTTGTACAATCTGTAGATGTAGATACAGATGCCACCACCGCCATCTGTTGCGCGGCGGTTGAACTCGCGACTCTCGGTCCGAACGGGCAAATGGACATACAGAGAAGTTTGCTCGTATCTCTGAAAGTTCGAATGTTCATAAGTAGAGGAGTTCCTGTACTCGACCAGAGAAATCCCAAGCATACTCCAACTCCGCCATCTTCTGGCCGCACGAATCCCCACGCTTCGCGTTACAACGCCTAAAAGCCCCACGGCTCCACACTAACGGCGGTGCAGCAACACCACCGGCTTACGTCGGGGGGGGGGGGGATGCGTGCCTGAAAGGTGCCACGACGAATATCGGAATGACGTCAATCAAAGCGATTTACAGGGTAGGCGGTGGAGGCGAGGGCCGAGAGGCGACGCGTGACGAGGGAGGACGGACGGTGCTGTCGGCGACGCCGAGAGTGTGTGCGCGTCGTTGTTGCGACGCGGATCGAGCAGCGGTGTTGACGATAAAGCGACGTCATGTTTGCGAAACGACGCAAAAGTGGGAGGCGCAAATCGGGGCATTGCTATGTTTGTCGTCAATTTACGAATAGGATGGCACCTGCCAAGGGAATGTGGAATTATCAGCACTGGTTTTGGGCCGCCCGACAGAGACGAGTGCATCCGCCATCACCCATTTGAACGGAGAGAGATTGCGTGTCTGTTGGTGGCCCAGAATGTGGCCAATCTCATCAGACCTCGGAAGCCAGGCAGGGTGCGTGCCTGGATAAGTGCTGGGATGGGTGACCACCATGCAACAAACAGGCTAGCGTGGCTATGTGGTGGGCAGCAGAGGGCAGCGCAACAAAATGCAGTGTTCTATTGTACAGGCGGTCTCCGGTTTTACGACGATCCAAATTTACGACGCACTGCCACCACGGATCGATTTACGACGCAGCAACTTGATTTACGACGCATACTCATGTGACTTGGGCGTGGAGCTTTTGTTTTTCTCAAAGTGTTTTTTTTTTGTGGATGTTTACCTATTAAACCCTCAAATATGACTGATAAAAGGAAAAAAAACGCATCGGCAAGTGCTGTTTACGACCGCTTCTGCCGTCAACAGGGAAAATAGGAGTCCGATTTAGGACGATCTGAATTGCGACAAGACGGGGTTTCCGGGAAGGCATTGTGTCGCAGAAGCGGGGACCTCCCATACCTTCCACGCACCCGAACGTCTATGCCCTCTGCCCTTGACCACCCTGCACCGACCAGCGCGGCGAAGCATGGTCAAATAAGCCCTCACAATTCGTACGGCATTGGGAGACCTCCGGCGGCGGACTGACAAAGAGGGCCGTCCCGCGTTGACATTTCCGCATGATCGCGATGGCAGTTCGCGCGGCGTTCCGCTGCCCACGTCGCACCGTCCATGTCGGAGGAGTCGCGGTGATCGAGGTCGGGTGTCGATGCCCGGCTCTCCTGGTCACGTCGCCCGCTCCTCTTCTCGTCTTTGGATGATCTCTGCGCGCGATTGGTTTTCGCCCATCACGATGGAAGACCCATGATGCACAATCCAACACGCTCGCCCTCCAGAAACGCTCAGGGCTCAGATGCCACAGGCAGTCGGGGGCAATAGTTCCCAAGACAAAGTCACGACGATGAAGGTTTACCCACAATCCCATCCTCTTATCAACATTTTTAACTAATCCGCTCAAGAGTTATTCAACATTTCATATGGAATATTCTTTGGTTCTTTTGGTAAAGGCACGTAGATAGAAAGTAAAAAATAAAATTTAAAGAATCTTCTTTTCTCGACCGCCTGATGAAGACCGCTTGTGTTGCGATCGAAACGTTGTGGGTTTTTTGCTTTTATTTTTAATTTATTTTTTTAAAATACATTTTTATTTTATTTTCTATCTACGTAACTTTACCGGAAACAAAACAAAGAATATGAATTCCTGCAGTCTCGAAAGTTTTAAGTCAAAATTCATTTGAGAATTTCAGCTTCCCAGTAACTCACTCTATGCTAAATTTTGATTTAAAGCTTTCGTGACTGCAGGGATTCATATTCTTGGTTCTTTCGGTAAAGTAACGTAGAAGGGAAACAATAAAATAATAAAAATATAAAACAATACAATTCTCACGACGTTTTCGACTGCAACACAAGCAATCATCATCAGGTGTGAAAACCACAACAAGAAAATTTGAAATTTTTCAAAATTTGAAATTTTTCAAAATTTGGTTTTCACACCTAATGATGATTGCTTGTGTTGCTGTCGAAACGTCGTGAGAATTTTATGTTTTATATTTTTATTATTTTATTGTTTCCCTTCTACGTGACTTTACCGAAAGAACCAAGAATATCACTCTATGCTGCATACAGTTCCGTATTTTTCTCTTATCGGGCCATCTTGCAATACAGTTTGTTAAACCAGAAGTGCCCATTTATGCAAAGAACTCAGTCAATTTGAAATCCACGCCGTTAAGCTATAATAGAATTATTGAAGAAAAGATTACATTTTCCTTCAGATTCCACAACCCTCATAAAGCACCGGGAGGCCTACATGAAGAGTTTTGACACAGGGTTGTAATTTATTATCACAGGCAGTGTTATTATCAGCAGTAACATGGGAGCAATCCCTGCAATTTCAGATCTTGCTTGGTTAGACTAAACATGCAACATAATTGCATCTCTCTTAGACTGATAAACGATTCTCTCCCCATCAGTTTTTCATAATGGGTAATATCTTAAGTGCTTTTGTTTGACCAAACTTCACCGTGATGGTCAGTGCTGGTAGGTGAAGGGATGGGGCGGCAGGGGAAGGGGTTATTTCTGACCCAGCGGGACTGGTTCAGACATAACTCACCCACTGACGTTAGCCGTGGCCGGGAATCAAACTCAGGTCATCAGGTTCATAGTGCAGTGCACAAGGCGAATGTGGGAGACTACGTGTCAACTTGACAGGCAATGTCAAAGAATGGACTAAGCAGGGAAGAATGCAGATGGAAACTCAGGAGGAAGGAATGAATGATGTGCCCCAACGATGGCAAGCCCAGGAGATTGAAGAAGAAGATTGATGCCCAGGAATTTAATACAGGTAGCTAGGTTCGTTGGGCACTGCGTGAGCCACTGCACCACCGTTGCCCTCCTACCCTATAAAAAAAATGTGAAGGTGCAACCCTGCAATTCCTGTTCACGCCACTGCTGGCCAAAGGGCCTCTACTCGGGTGAGCTCCTGGAGAGAGCTGCTATGAAGGTAATTGGTCGACTGCTTCACGCTGACCCAGGACGACTTTGAAAGAGACGGGGAGTGCGAGCACCCTGCGCTTTATCTGACCGCACGTGACCTGCCTATCGACAAACCGCCGGCGCGCCCGTTTAAACGACCGCCCTTTAAGGGTGGAGGGGTGGGGGGTGTGCAGGGGGTGTGGTTGCGCCATGCGTACTCACCCGGCGGCGCTGCAGAAAGGAGCGGGCGGCGCTCGGACTGAGGCCCAGGGCGCTGGCGCAGCGCACCACGCTGGAGTCGTGCCGCACGTGGGTCCGGATCACGCCGCCCTGCTCGTACTGCGCGATGTCGTTGAGAGGGTCCCATGGGCGGAGGCTGCAACCGTGGGGGGGGTGGGGGGGGGGACGGTGGTGAAACGGTGCAAATGGCTTCGGCGAGGCGCCCGTAAGGCAGCTGCGGATGCCTGTGACGTTTGCTATGTGCCCTTGTCGATGCGTTTTCGGGATGTACGCCGCATGTTCGGCACAATGTCATGTTGTGTTCGTATGTTTATGAGAGGCGCGGTGGCGGGATGTTAACTACCTCGCCTGGTATGCAGGAGGTCCTGGGTTCAATCTCGACCCTGACTTCTGTATATTTGGAGTTTGCGTGGTCACATGGATTGTTCTCTGGGTCATCCGGGTTTTCCCTCCACATTTAGAAACACGCGTTTAGATTATTTGGCTGCTATTAATTTCCACATGATAAGTCACTTTGTTGAGCTATCATTTGTGGCCAGGTCGCTTCGAAAAAAGAGCTATATAGCTCATTGGGCCTTACCTGGTAAAATAAAATAGTTTATGGTTTACTTTTTATAATTTTTTTTTAAGTCCAACGTTTTGCTCCGTGAGCTGGGAGCTGCAGCAGGAACTGCTTTCAGTTCCCTGAAGAAAGCACGTCAAATCTATACAGCACAATCGCGAAAACCTACACGGTGGTAAAATAACGTATACAGTAAATCTATGGACGTGTCTACTTTGCCACCGCCATAAAATAAACACTTGGGCCCATCAACCAAATAGGCCTGCAAACGCTCGCCCATTATTCCGCTAACCGCAATCCATTTTTGTGGAACGGTTTCCAAATTACTCCCCGAACAGCCGCACGGTTCTCAGATCGCCTTTTGCTGAATAACGCCCAGGATAGCCGGCACTGTTTGTTTAACCGGCCACATGCCAGACCGGCACCAACTCTGTGAACCTCCCCCCCACCCCCCGCGCGAACCTACAACCACGTCGGAAAGAGCCACACGGCGCAACGGCGGAAACCTGGCCACGAAGCGATCCATGTTTAAGTTGAGCGGGCGGGAGAGGGCACTTACTCTGCGTATTTGTACTGCCACTCTCCCGCGAGGGGCTCCAACTCAAAGAAGCACGGCGTCCACTCCTCCTGCTGCTCGGCGCGCTCGCGAGCCCCCTCCCTCTGGGCCTCCTCCAGCAGGAACTTCTGCTGCGTCGCCTCGTGCTGCTCCCGCTGTGAGATCGCCGTCGTGACGTGCTGCCACAGCCTGGCTTGTGCGCGTGTGTGCGTGTGTACCATGCGTGCGTTTGTTTTGTGTGAAGAGGAGGAGGGGGGGGAGCGGAGGAGCAGTCGTTAGCGCACTGCGCCGATATCCCGTAGCGCACATTCGATCGTAGAGCCACAACACAGACAGCCGGTGGAATATTTGCGTCTGAATTTGCCGCGTCTACGGTCGAGTAATTCGCACCTGCGGTTGAGGAACAAGTTATGCACAGCCCCGTTGTATGCATGTACGTTGAACTTCTTTCGCACCGTACATTGCCAACCGTGCTAATCGGAGGTGCGGGGGAAGGACAACAAAATCCACTGATGGATGAAGGCCTACAACCCCGCCCTGCAGGTCATGGGGGTTATTTTACCACTCAACCACACCGGTCATTGCGGATGGGTAAAGGTGGGAGCATAAAGTAGAGTACAACAATGGATTTGTCTTCACTGCCCTCTACGTACTGCCCACAATGGATACTTGCAGCAGCCTATAACAATAGGCAAAGCAATATCTTCGATGTCTGAATTCATACATCGCGTAGGTAAACATTTATACTGGTAGGAACCTCCTGGTTACACCAGCCCACAGGGGATTATTGTGTCCGTCCGTCCGTCGTGCATCCAAAAATGGGAGGGGTGGGGCTGGGTGGAGAGGGGAGGGTGGGGAGGGAGGGGCTGGGTGGGGAGAGAGGTGCTGGGTGGGGAGGGGAGGGTGGGGAGGGGCTGGGTGGGGAGGGTGGGGAGGGGCTGGCTGGGGAGGGTGGGGAGGGGCTGGGTGGGGAGGGTGGAGCTGGGTGGGGGTGGGAGGGGTGGGGCTGGGTGGGGAGGGGCTGGTCACCCCGTGGTGCCCTTATAAAACTCAACGTTTAACCTACTCACGCCGGCTTGTGCCCGCCCTCACAGTCGGGCATATTTGCGGAATACACCACGTGGTGCCGTTGACCCTGGCCATTGACCGAGCAACCCAACGTTCCTACCAGCTCCCTCCGCAGGAATGTGTTCTAAAAAACCCACTCGTTATTAACACTGCCTTACCACGGAAAAATATATATAAATTATCAGCCAACATGTCAGCAATGGTCACAATTCAGTTAAAAGAGGGGATAGAGACGGATAGATTCAGAGTTATAGGTTTGGCTCTTTGTCCTGAAAACGGAATGACAACATAAGTTAGTTCACAGCCAATATAGCAATGCTGCAACCCGGTGTGAAGTCTTCGAAATCAGAATCTTTATTTATCCTGGAGAAATCCGATGAGCTACGAAGCTCTTGTTCACAGATGTCCAGCAGGGGCACGGGGTCAGAAAGTAACAGCAACAAACGACACAATCAAACGATCGGAGTGCAAAGTATAGGAGAGGACAGCAAACCACTGAAAATTAAATACTGGAAATGGATAAAGTATGTCCATTCAGATTGCATTAGTACACCAAGAATTCTTCCTTTTGCACCGCGTCACTCACTTCTCCGACTCGTAGTCGCCCTGCTCCTGCAGGTGCACCAGGTGCCTCGTCAGCCTGCGTGCCCTGACCTCGGCGTCCGGATTCCAGAACTCCTCCGAGGCCCCCGTCTTGTGGTCCTGGATGAACACCTCTCGGTCCTGCAATGTAGTGGCGGCGCTAGCTTACGGAACAGGCCAACCCAAGCCAAAGCGTCAGGGGCCCGACGGTGGTGAGATGTTAACTGCCTCGCCTGGTATACAGGTGGTCGTGAGTTCGATCCCGATCCTGATGCCTGTATGCAGGCAATCCTCGGTTTCCGTGCTTTTGTGGCACGTCATTTTGGATTAACGCGGCGCTTTGTATTTATACCTTTTATTGACATACGCGAGGCAATTTTCGGAATAACGTCACCCGCAACGTGACATACACGCCACGCCCAGCCTGGCACCACCACCCGATGGCGTTGCCAGCAGCCAGTGCGGTACGATAACTGGTGTGAAGGGATCATTAAGAACACAGGTGGCCGGATGTCTAACATCCGGAGGGGAAGGGGCACAGGTGGTGAAGGGATATAATTAATGAGAGGGTACTCTAGCAAGAGAACACGGGTGGTGAAGGGTTAATGACCGAGTATTATATTGTGTGTACGTGTATTGTATTGATATCGGCTAGGATGATTTAGGCAATGATGTCTGCGAGTGTGAGTGAAATCCCCTAACCCCCTTCCTTTATCTTTACTTCTTATGGGAAAATTGCTTTTGAGATACGCGCGTTTTTCCAGGAACGCATCTATCGCGTGTGTCAACGAGTGCCTGTATTTGGAGTTGCGTGCCTTTCTCTCTCTCTTGGACGTAATCAACCGGGTAGGGTGTTGACTGTTGTATCAGCCGACTTTCTGTGCTGTGTTGCATTATATTTCTCAGTTTACTAGGTGTGTTTCTCTTTTTAATTTGTACCTGATGATGATTGCTTGCTTTGCAATCGAAACGTCGTATGTTATTATGCAATTTATCATTTTCTATTTATACGTGACTTTACCGAAAGAACCAAAGAATAATTTCTCCCCATGGTCGCGTGGATTGTTCCCGGGTCATCCGGTTTTCCCCTCCACATTTAGAATCAACATGCGTTTAGTATTGGGCTGATGTATAAATGTCCACACAGCGAGCCACTTCATCGAGCTGTCATTTGTGGCCAGGTCGCTTCTGAAAAAAGAGCTATATAGCTCAATCGGCCTTACCTAGTACAAAAAAAAGTTTAAATAGTTTTTTTTTTATTATCATGAGCATTCACGTCGCCTTGCGTGTGAAGGGAGAAAATCGTGGACTCAACAACACCACGATTGTTGTCCAGAATGTTGCCCGGTGCCTCTTCGCCATGTCTCCAGGCGGCGCAGCGGCCACACGTGGCTGTGCCCCCCGGAGTCGGAATTGTGATGATTTGTTTACCCAGTGGCCTTCCAGGGTGCAGAGGACTTCCTTGCCGAGTTGGATTTTTCCAGAAATCTGATTCACGCAGTCATTTCCACCAAGCAGGGGCTGGCGGATATGGGGGGGGGGGGGGGAGAGTACAGAGTCATCATGTTGCATTATTGAGCCTTAGTTACACAGGGTCATTCGTTTATAGATGCTCCACTCAAATAACAGGGAGAAATAATGAGAGAAACGACATTGTACAAGATGTCATTCAAAGCCTCCACAATGCTGTCTAAATATTCAAATTCCCCCACGAGAGAAACAGAAGAGCCGCCGCTTACAATGAATAGTAAAAGAAGACAAACGTACGGACGATAATTAAACAGTAAGAAGTCATACAGGGGCACATACAGGGGCTCTACTTACGAACGAGTTAGGTTCTAGAGGTCTGTTCGTATGTCGATTTGTCCGTAAGTCCAACTTTACTCTTGTCGATTCCAAACATGTTGCATGGCATGTACACTAAACACGGGGAATGGCTTTAAAAGTTGTATAATCTCCTGTAGATGTAGATGCCACTGGTTCTCCACGTTATGCAGATGTCGATGCCACTACCGCCATCAATTGCGTGGCGGTTGAAATTACGACTCTCGGTCCGAACAGGCAACTGGACATACGGACAGGTTTGTTCGTATCTCTAAACGTAAGTAAGTCGAATGCTCGTAAGTAGAGGAGTCCCCGTGTGTGCTATATATCAATACACTCGTGACATTTTTTTAACGCTCCTCTAAGACACAGGACGATCGCTTTCACAACATCCCAATCAACGGTTGAGAGGTCAAGAGGGTCACCAGAGGTCAGTGGGGCATCTATAAATGGATTGTCCTCTACAGTACAATGAGCGTGCATAGCAATCGCAAGAAATTGAGCAAGCGCTATAGTTTCTTCTGAAGGTGGGATTGTTTTCAGATAATTTGTTTTTATTACGCTCACCTTTGTTTATTGTCGCTTGCATTATGTAGGACCCCCCCCCCCCCCATTAAATATGTATCACGCTTATGAATAATACAGCAGCAGTGCCTTTAGTGAATAGGGAAATAAAACGTGAATTACCATTGCACACAGACGAGCATTTAATTCGTAATCTCATTGGACACTTCAGGGAGGAAGCGGTGGAGCCTTTAACTCTTCCGATAACTGTTTCCCTTTTCGATGACGTATGTGTACGTAATAGTTTTCTTTATGGTTCCGATGACGTACTGAGGCTCCCACAAGGCCATGCGGGAGAGCACGTGGCACAGCTTGGCGCCAGCTATCATAGAGTGCGGTCGTGTCGCTGCAGTTCTCTGCGTTGCTACAGTCCTCTGTGGTGAGTACAATGTCTTTTAAAACGAACGGCGCTACGCCTCTCTAAGTACAATTAACGCCGAATCGCTTGCGCGTTCCGCGATTCACCGGCGAATGGGACACCCCAACATGCAACCTGCAGTTGTCTCGAAATGGGAAAGGGTTAACAGCGCGCTTGTGCCCTACGAACTCTGCGACCTCGGCTCAAATCCCGGCCACGACTGCCATCAGTGGCGAGTGATATCCGAACCGGTCGTGCCCCCCTACCTACCCCTTCACCAACCCACACCACGACGGGCTTGGTGAAGTATGACCAAACAGCCCCCATGGCCGACAATGACATGTGGTGGGAGGCCTTGATCCAGTCGTGGATTGACCAAAGGACTGTTAAATTATAATTGCCGCAATAGGAGCTGGATGTAGGCACACCTTATACTAGCACAATTCTGAAATAAAGCGACGCTTCGTTACATTGCACAGGTGAGGGGGGAGGCAAAGGCCTGCTATAAGCACACTTTGGATATAAGCACACTTCGGATATAAGCACACTCTGATATGCTCCCAAGCAGTGTGCCTATATCCAGCGTCTATCCTAATGTGCGATGTAATTGTTTTTGTAAAGAACGACACGGTGTATTCCTATGCATTAAGAGGCATGTATGTGTTAATGCAACAGCTTTAAGGATTGATGTGTGCTGGCTTTAGTATTTACCCTGAGCTTGAACTCAATGCTGGCGCTGTAGCCGGTCTTCTGGCACTCAATTCCAATCTTTCCACCAAGCTCCAGTGTCATGGTCCCATACAGAATGCCTGCAAAGGGAGTGGGGGGCGGGTGATGGAGCTCAGCTGTGACACGGAGATATTGACAGCTGGGACGATTAGAAAAGTCGATTAATCGACAAATAATTGTAGTGGACAACTGTTGTTGTGATCGATTACTCGCGCCGCTTTGAAAACTTAGCCGTCGCCCTGATATCCTCTACAAACCACAACCGGCATGACGTAAACCGATGATGCCTGTAACGTCACCAATCCACGACCATCACCTCCCGTCCAGCGGCACACGTGGGAACAGAGGTGAGACTTTTTTTACTGTACCCCCCCCCACCGCACCTCCGGCCCCCTCCCCCAACAATTAGCTTGTATCCGATCATCCGAGCAATAACCGGCAAGCGTAATCGATGGCATAAATCGGAGAGCCCAGCTCTGGCGAAACGGGTTCGATTCCCCGCTGGGCGTGAGCGCGGTGGTTTTGCGAGCAGCGAGGAGCCCCGGCTGGCGGCGGCGGCGGCACCTTTGCAGTGGGCGTAGGGCATGGTGATGACGTACTCCTCCCCTCGCTCCAGCAACGTCAGGCGGACCGTGCCGTCGAGGATCGCCGACAGCGAGTTTCCTGAGAGGGTTCGAAAGGTCGGAGAGGCGCAGTGGGTGACCTACCGCTAGAGCGAGCGACCGGGCAGCGACCATCTCCCGTTTGCAGCCCCCGACCGGGGTAAAGGGAAATTGCTCATTCCTAGGCCAAGAGCGAGTATGTCCATCGGACATTGGCTGTTGATTTTTTTGCGTAGCTTTTTTTTCCGGTATTTTTTTTTTAATCCACAATTTATTCCAATGTTACGTCGTTAGGAGAATTAACAAATCGTGCAAAGCAGTTGCGCCCCTATGTTGTCAGATATTATCTGCGGAATAGATTTTTCACAGGACCATCTCTCAGGAGATCTGTGAAGTGGTATTTAGAAATATATCAATCTTGATTTGAAGCTTTGGTGACTGCAGGAATCCTTACTCTTTGGTTCTTTCGGTAAAGTCACGTGGGTAGAAATAAAATAACAATAGATCACGACGTTCCGATCGCAACACAAGCAACCGTCATCAGGTGAAAAATTGTCTTTTTTCCACCTGAAGATTTTACCGAAAGAACCAAAGAGTATTCTATTTTACATCATAGTGGGTGTGAACTTTCCCACACACTCTGCTGTGAAGTTGTCCCGTGACAGTCAAAAAACCGACAAAATCTTAAAATTCTCGGAGCTGGAAGTTTTGGCAAACTCTTTCTTTCACAGTCGCAGCAGTGACGCCGTTTGTAACCCGTTGCGTCTACGGGTGCTCGTTGCGGCAGACTCTGCCGGTCGCGTTGGCGCTGCGTCGTCACGCAAACGAACGTCGAGGGGAAGAGCCCTTACCGTAAAACTTTGATCGGGCGAACACGGTGGCGCTGATACAGAAGCCATCCTTCCGGTTGCTGACGTATATTGCGGAAACGGGAGGATGATGAGACACCTGGAGGACATGCAGACGGTTGTGGGGGTGTGCGTGTGAGCGGTCGCGTAGCGATTAGCGCGCCGAGCTACGAACCCGGTGGCCTGAGTTCGATTCCCGCTCGTGGCCAACATAACTGACGAATTTCTGAACCGGTCCTGGGCCTCCTTTAGGTCGACTCAGCCTTTAGTGAGTGCCTGGTGTGGTGTGTAAGCATCAGCACTGGGGTGACAAAGGCGGCCGAGCACGGTGTTGCCCCCCCCCCCACCCCCTTACGTGCCGTGCCGGCCTTCATAGTAGTTCGTTAATGGCACTTTGTCATTACAGTTCTGTTTGGGCCACGTCGCTAATACCCAAGGCGCGATCATTGAAGCCAGTGTTCCTTCGAATAGAGAGCCCTCAGCCACGGCAAAATTGTGCGGAGTCCTTGGAAAAAGTTCATACTCTTTGGTTATATTCGGTAAAGTCACGTAGGTAAAACAAATTAAAATAAATTGAAATCAAATGAAAGAAACGATTAAAACACGACGTTTCGGAGGCAAAGCAAGCTTCCGTCTTCAGGTGGGACCAGTCACAGCAAAATCGCTGCACCACTTGGAATATAACCAAAGAGTATAAACCCGCACATGTTTATTTTCTCAAGCGAAACCCACGGCAGCTTCATTGGAAGTCTTCGCGATCCACCCTTGGTTGCCTTGCGTTGTCTCGCCGCAGATGGCCACAGGTGGAGCATCACAGTTCACCGTCTCCATCCGCGCAATCGAAGGCCGGCTAAATTCGTGCATTGTCAACTCTTTTCAAGGACACCCTCCCGTTATCCATCCCAATGCCGTTCGTGGCACGCACATTCGACGTACACCCTGGGGGTGGGCGGAGGAAGGTTCGTGAGTCGTGCAGGCACTGTCCCCGTTTTGGATTGAAGTGATGAATTACAGCATTTATATGAAAACAACTCGACACATTCGTCAAAGACACCGTGGCCTTCAAACAGAAAAAGAGCATTTCAAAGGTGGCGTTTCGGTCAATAGGCCTTCTTCACAGCACATACGTTCAGACAGGCAGAGTGTATTAGGACAGCGTTACAGTTTTAAGGCGGCGGTATCTATGTGTGTGTGTTTATCACTGTTAAAATTAAAATAAAAATATCAGCAAGGAGGTGTTGATCATGCAATACTGAAATAACATTTTGGTCACTAAGCCAGTGCCCATTCTAGTAAACATTGGTCCAATGGAGACCCATAGGCTGGTAGATCAAAACATGTTATTTAATTAATATTTAATTACCCACATTCCACCACGACAGGACATAATACAAATTTTCCGATTGGTTAAATGGGTCACCTATTCATAGGTCATAAGCACTCCTGTGATTATATAATGGTTAAAGTGAGGATCAATAGAGTTTAAATGATTAAGTGCAAATTTCTGCTCGCAATAACTGCTTATTATTTACCGTGTCCATGATCAAACACGGACACTAGACAACATATTAATATTCAAAGGGAACAACAGCTGTTAAATATGCATGGGGGAGATGCAGGTTTGGAATTGCAGAGACAGAGGAACACATGCACCAGGGAACAAAACACAACTCACGGACATATTTAGTGTTGAGTTAAAACGACACTAAAAGCAGGTAAGGCCCACTGAGCTATACAGATCTTCTTCAGAAGCGACCTGGCCACAAATGATAGCTCAACGAAGTGGCTTATCACGTGGAAATGTATAGCAGTCAAATACTCTAAACGCACGTTTCTAAATGTGAAGGGAAAAACCGGAGAACCCGGCGAAAAATCCACGCGACCACGGAGAATATGCAAACTCCAAATATAGGTGTCGGGAATGGGATCGAACCAACAGCCTCCTGTATACCGGGTGAAGGTAGTTAACATCTCGCAACCTCGGAGCCATATAGAAGGCACGCTGGCCAATTGATGCAAATTGTGGCCAAAGGAGAGAGCATGCCCACAAGGGGTGACCCTCAAAGTGATGGAGTTACGAGACCAGCTGATGTGAAGTGAGATGTAACGTGGCATCAGGGGGAGATGAAGGATGGTGACGTCGTGAGGAGGCACTCATCTATCAGTGGATAAATAATGATACCTGCTCAGCGATGTAGTAGGTCTTGCTGTCGGTGGAGGGATGGTACCACATGCATCGGAAAGTTTCTCCAAGAATTGGGTTGTAAGGCTTCTTTGGTCCCTTTTAATAGAGGAAAACCACAACTCAGCATTCCCTTGGTGGCGACTCCACACAGCAGGGTGACAATATTGATGGATTGCAGCTTTATTGAGCACAGCAGTGTTCGCGGCAGCCTAATATGAGTCTGTCTCATTAGGGTGACTTAGTGTGTGTGTGTGTGGTAGAGCAAGTCTTGAAGCAGTCAAGACAAAAGTTGATTGCTTGTGGTGTGTATATATATCTCAATTATCGAGTTAGATTTTAAAAAATCTGAATGTTTTTGTTCAGTAGTTAATATTACGTAATTTTCTTCACGCGACTAAGTTCAATATGGTAACTTTTTTCTTCCGAATTGTGTCATATTGTGTTTTGTTTACAGATTGAAATTGCTCTTTTGCAGCACATATTTTTGCAGATGTCTCCCTTGAAATAAGGATCTTCTGGTTTAAATTGGCTCTTAGTGACATGAGCATACACTATTCTAAATGCAATCTCTGTATCCCATTGTCTAATTTTACATCTTGCGGAGAGACAGGAGTCCTGCTATGAAAATGTGGAATTCACGTTAATGACTTGGGAACGACTCAAAAAGAAGAGCATCACCCTCATTGCTTGTTTACTGGACTGTAATTGGACATAGCTGCTGTTCTTCGTCTGAAGTATACACGCATGCCGTCTTGAATCGTGCTTACAACACTTATTTTTTTTGTTTTGTTTATACATCTGATCGAAAAAAGAACTTTAGGTGATAGATTTCGCTTCGACATGCGCAGCAACACTTTCATGGTGGGCCTTTACTCGAGTACCTGTGGTTTTTTGTAGAAGCCGGAGAGATACCACTGTACCACCTGTTTCATGCGGCCGTAGGCATTCTCCTCCAATGCCGCTCTGGTGAAACAAAACAACCCGCACCGCTGTAAACTTCTAAACTGAATCTCGCAGAGCCACGGAGGCCACATCCCCGTGGCCATTAGTGGCCGAGCTGGCCCGGTACTCGCACCGGGCTGGATCCAATATCCAGCAAACAAGCAACATCGAGCCACCATTGGCGTGTGGTTGAAGCCAATGTACCAACGTTGACTTAACGTTCCATATTCTTAGCTCTCTCGGTAAAGTCACGTTGAAGGGAAACAATAAAATAAGAAAATATATTGTTATATATTTTACGTTGAAGGGAAACAATAAAATAATAAAATATATTGTTATATATTTTATTATTTTATTGTTTCCCTTCAAAGTGACTTTGCCGAATGAGCTAAGAATATGAATTACTGCAGTCACGAAAGCTTTAAATCAAAATTTAACGTTCTATGTTTACTGGGCAGTTCCCATTCCAAGGGCAGTTATCCCAGGATAAATGAATCCAAAGCGTGCAGCCATGACCCCCCCCCCGCCCACCCCCAGAAGGCAGGGTTAGAGATCTGTGCTGCACTTTCTCTTTACAAGCGGCGCCGATTGCATTCAGCCCAGTTGCCAACTTGCGCTGCGCCCAAACGCCGCCATCGGTGTCCGGTCATCCATCATCGATGTGGCCTTTACCAAGTGATGCCCAGCTACTGAAGGTCTTTGGTCATTTTTCTCAGTTCTTTCGGTAAAGTCACCATGTTGAAGGGGAACAATAAAATAATAAAATATATATAAAACAAAAAAATTCTCACGACGTTTCGACCATAACACAAACGGTCGATTTTATATATATATAAAACAATAAAAATTCTCACGACGTTTCGACCATAACACAAACGGTCGACACACCTGATGACGACCGTTTGTGTTATGGTCGAAACGTCGTGAGAATTTTTTATTGTTTTATATATATTTTATTATTTTATTGTTTCCCTTCAACGTGGTGACTTTACCGAAAGAACTAAGAATATGAATTACTGCAGTCACGAAAGCTTTAAATCAAAATTTAAGTCTTTGGTCATTGATCGCTTTGCTTGCTCATGGCTGCATCCACAGCCCCCTCTACTTTGGCTTCTTATGCAGGTCACAGGCTATGGGAGTGGCGTTAATGAGATATAATTGAGATGCCTCCTGCGTCCTTTGTTTCCCAATTGTCAAGCCAAGCTCGTGCAACCCGATCTCATGCTTAGGGTTCTGTACATGTGTCGTCATCCGCAGCATTGTTACGTGCCTGGCAGAGTGGGAGTTGTTGTCCGGGGATGGGTGGGACATAGGGGAGGGGGTGATCCCATGACGTACCATGGTTCATGGAGCACAGGGACACGCATCTGTATGAATATATGTACGTTGAACTTCTATCACACTATACGTAGTCAACCGTGCTAATCGGGGGATCTGGACCCTGCTGCTGTTTCTGCGGCCAAAGCTGGGATGTTCCTGGGCTGGCAGAGCCTGATTCCCAGTAGCCTTGTACCCCTTTTCCACTGGCATATCTAAGCCATGCCAGGGCTGTATGAAGCTAGGCCGTCGTGGGTCAGGAGGAGCAGGTTGCTTTTCCCACTGCAGAAGCCAAGCCATGCCCCGCTGGCATCACACGTGATGCGTGACGTGGAGACGTCATATCGACGACGCGGCGACACCGAGTCCTCACAGTGTACTGACTGACGTCACATGCAATTATTGCGTCATTAGTCCCGCCCCTTGGCCCTGATTGGTCCCGAGGTCGATTCAAATGTTTTTGTGAGGCCAGCGTATATCGAAGTTTGGTTCTGGCTTGGCATGACGAATAGCCAGTGGAAAATCATCCTTCCTAGCCATGAGGGCCCTTTGCCAGCTCGGCTCGGATGTGCCGGTGGAAAAAGGGACAATCTTCACTTTCTTTTGTGCGGCTGATGCAGATGCAGAGCAACGACCACAATTTCACACTCAGGTGGTCAAACCAGACAGCCGCGTCAGGAGCAGCGGAGAATGTTTCGCTGTGGATGATGGCAGCCTTCATGCGGCCCACTCTGTCCAGTGGGAAATCATGACGAATGGCGCCAATGCGGCGACCGAACGTCGACCGTCGAGCTCCCGGTCTCCGGAGCAACGACACGGCACAAAGGGACAACGAAAGCGACGGTGCCGGGACCCCTGCGAGCATTTGGTGCGCGCGCAAGGGATTGGCCGGGCCGCCGGCGTCGTGCGTCTCACTGCGAGAGCAGGTCGGCGTGGTAGTAGTAGTCGGAGAGCTTGTCCAGAAAAGACCTCGGCTCCAGCACGAAGGTGGGCAACACCACGCGCGACAGGTCCATGCCTGGCCGCAGCTGCTTGATGAGACCCCAGATGAGACCCTTGTGCTCCTCCGAGACCTCCTCCATCTGCGACAGTTCCCCCACCTGCGCGGGACGGCAAAGCATTTGCCGCGTCGTCACGAACCGAGAATTGACCACTGGGCAATCGTTATACTGTCATCATTATTCGGTGAAGCTGCTGCTGCTGCTGCGATGGCAGCGGTGCGCGAGCACAAATTCCGCACACCTCCGATTAGCAGGGTTGGCTACGTACGGTGCGCAAAAAGTTCAACAATGCGCTCGTCAATCACACTGTGGCCTTGAAAAGGTAACAAAAATACATGATTAGCAACGTTTTGAGAAGTGGCCATTCTTCGTAGCGCAGTGCGAGTAGAGGAGGCAACAGCGAGTATTGTTACGCCACTGACAGAAAACTGAATATTTTAGTGTCCCGTGAAGACTCACAGATTTCCCAGGACAGCCACCTCGACAAGAGCACAGTTCTGGGGGGGGGGGGGCAGGGGAAGAAGACAAAAAAACCACCAGGAGAGGTGTCTGGAAGCTCACCGGACCCAGCTCTTCATCAGTCTGCTGGCAGTACGTGGTCTCCTTGAGCCGCCCGCTGCCCCTGATGCTGTCGTCGGCTCTCTCCGACGTGTCCGAGTCGCTGTCTTCGCTGTGCGCTCCCTCATCCCCGTCGCTGTCCGACCTGTCGGACACCCCCTCGGCGTCCGTGAGGTGCGTCTGCGTCGCCTCGCTCTCGTGCGTCCTGACCAGGCCCGGTACAGGGGAGGGAGGGAGGGCGGGCGAGGCGGGAGGATGTGGGGGGGAGGAGGGCATCGCCAGGGTTGGCGCGACACGTTGACTTGGGACGACGAAGCCCTCGTAACGAGCGGCAGTCGCACGGCCGCTCGGCCCAGTCGCCATTCCCGTAGTGGCGTCAGAATCCCACGACAGCTGATAGTGTACCATGGCACGGTTGGCTACGTGCGGTGCGAAAGAAGTTCAACGCGCATACATCTGCGGCGGTGTTGCACTCGAGCCGGGCTATGAAGTCATCGATGACTGTACCGACTGTCAACTTCCTGCATGTGCCGCTGGACGGGAGATGGTGAGACGGGGGGCTTGGTGACGTCGTCGTCAATGGCCGTGGCCACACCGCGTGTGGCCTGTAGTGGGCTTACTGCCTTTGGCAGGCGGGATGTGGGGACTGTCACCGTTTTAAAACGGGCTCGAGTAATCTCGTGTCGCGGTTAGTTCACCGCGGTATGAAACTGTTGATCTGAGGTCAATCCCTCGCCACGGCCAACATCGTTGTTGAGCGATATCTGAGCCGGTGCTGCACCCTCGTTTAGCAACCCGCACGAATCGGCGTGCTTAAATACGTCGCAGTCAAACGACCCTCGTGACCGACGACACAGTGTGGGGTTGGACTTGAGCTTCTTTCGCACCGCACGTAGCCAACCGTGCTCATCGTAGGCGGCCTTCGTACAGCAGTAGATTGACCGTAAGTTATTTTCCGTCAATCTGTGGACAGTTTGCAAACCGCGGCAATCGCACAATGACTGTGAATGCAAATAGAGCGGAGAGAATGGATCAACGGATGCCACGGTCGGATGCCCTTTCCCAGCTGTCTGGAACACTGTTCCTTCCGATATTAGGACGCCACTGGAGGTATTCACATTTAAATCATCAAGATTGAAAACAAATGTCTTTAAAACGGCTTTTTGTGTGTTTAGTTTGTTGTCCTTCCCCCCGCACCTCCAATTAGCGCAGTTGGCTACATACGGTGAGAAAGAAGGTCAACATACATACAGCAGAATTATTTGCTACCTTGGATGGCTACTGAAGGCAGACTCGATATCAAAATGGGGAAATAAAAGAGGCAGGCTAGCGCAGCTTGGAGTGCTTCTGGAAAGCTGAAGCTGATAGTGAAGCGTAACGTACCCATTGTGCCTGGGGCAAAATAGATTAATCACTGCCTGCTATGACGTATCATTCAGAAACACGGTCATTAACAAAAAAAAAACCAGAACAAAAAATAGAATTGTGCAAAGAAAGCATGGAGAGAGGGGCATGTTTGGAATTACATTGGCTTGTGTTTAGTTCGTAGTCCGCGCCCCAGCACCTCCGATTAGCGCGGCTGGCTACGTACGGTGCGAAACACACGGTACGTACATACGGGCATGTTCGCGCCATGTTCGCGCCATGCCTCTCGTACCGCGAGCCGTCGCGCAGCGCCCCAGTGCGGAGCAGCCCCAGCAGGGTGCCGTCGGCCTGTACGACCTTCTCCGCGTCGTCGCCGTCCCGCGCCATCGTCCGCTTGAGCAGACTGGAGCAGCGCAGCGCCAGCTCCAACGCGTCCACCCAGCAGCGGCCTGCAAGCGGTCGAGCGGGGAAGACAGACGGACGGTGAGCCGATGCCAATTTCCCCCGCGCCCCCCCCGCCCCCCCCCCCCCCCCCCCCCCCGCCCCACTCCACCTCGCCCAAGCTCTGCAGTCCTCTACATGTGTAGGTGTTGTCTTCCAATTAATGAGATTAATAACATGTCGGAAGAAGCCGGAGCGCCCGGAGTGACGTTACGTCTTGTACAGATGGTAACAGGTGGGAAGTATAGCTCAAGCTTTGCTGGAATGCCTTCTCCTGGCGAGCCCTGGTATGGTACCCGCTGGACGCACGCGGGGAATGGATTTTCTCAACGCTTTGTGCGGTGATCCAGCAACTGACAAATGCCTCCACATTGCTGGATTACGGGCCACGTTCGTAGCCACCGCTGGCCTTGATCAACGGCAATACAGCAGTGGATGTGGTGGGTGGCGAGGGTGGTCAACCACTCAGAATCAGAATATTTATTGACACTGGAGGAATTCGATGAGCTCCAGAGTTATTTTTTCACAGATGTCCCGACATGTGTCGATATAGTCCAAGGGCCAGAGCAGAAACTGGGACAGCCTAAGGTATCAAAACTCCAGTACGGGTACCACAATGGGTTTACAAGGCTTGATAACGCACGCATTTCAAATGGTTATCACAGTCCACTGCCATATCAAGAAATCGGAAACACGAATGTGATGCCACCTTGAGGTGGAATCGAAACAGTTAACATCTGGTCTGGGCTCGTGGACTAAAAGTGGCTAAGAGACACCCACAAGGTTTTCAAGGGGCACCGTGTTATTTTTTTAATGCTACATCTTTCACACTTCAACAAGGTGACATAAAGAGCTGATTACGCTGACGATCGAAACTTTAAATACACAGCGGCCGAAGAACGGCAGGCTCAGCACTTAGTCAGGAGCGAGTAGTTGGGTAAATAAATAAAAAATTGTGCTTCAGCAGAACTCCGACGTGTGGCCAATCGCCACTGGGAATTATTTTCTGCTATGACAGCCTCAACTTTCACATTTGTGGATGTGCCCCTGGCCGGCTGGTCCAGAGGTCAAAACGCTGAGCCGGTATTGCTGAGAACCTGAATTTTGAGTTCGGGTTTCAGATGCCCACGGTTAAATTGAGTTGTGAAGTGTAGTGAGAGTCGATGCTCTTTGTCTGGTCAGCAATGACTCAGTAGAAAATAAAAAAACCCACCCATCCCATTTCATTTGTGTTGTCACTGAATTTGCCTAAATTCCATCTCTTGAGAATTAAGACTATCAATTTGATTGGTGTGGGATGAAGATCTCTCTGTGGCGGGACGTGCGTGTGAGAATGCAGCCCGAGTGTGTGGGATAAACCAGATCGCTTGAAGGGGCCGCCGAAGAAATTACGTGGAAATCTGCTTCCTTGGATTGTTCTGTAGCAGGTGGGATGAAGCGCTGCTGTGTGAAAGCTTCACATAATAAATTTTTCTCATAATATACGATGCTTCGTAGCACAAATGGAATATAATTGCCAAAGAAATCTAATTGTGACAGTGGTGGGAGATTGAGAAATACTGATACAATATCACGATGCAACAATTTGTTTTTATATATATTTCTTCAAGCAGAGTATCCTATAGCACTTTACAATAAAAAAAAATAAACAACAAAATCCATTGGCCGATCAATCCAGCAAAAAAACAAGCTAACTCAAACCAATATGTTTTAAAATTTTGAATTCTACATATTTCCTCGTGCCAGAATTTCTGATATGACTTGAAATAAGCGTTCCAGAGGCAGGGAGCATCGGAACTGAATGCCCTTGCTCCCTCCAAATTTTAGACGACGACTTCCCAGAACTACCAAATAATTCAGCGTTCATTGATCTCGATGCAGGTGACCTGGAGAGTACGGTGTCAGGACTTCCTGGAAATATGAAGGCCCGAGACCACGAAGAGCCTCGTAAGTAGTGAGCAGAATTTTTAATGTCGGTCCTGAAATTGAGAGCAAGCCAGTGCAGTGATTTCCGAGGTGGTGTGATGCTGTGAATGCAGTATGCGATGAGCACTGCGTCTGTAGCATTTTGAAGCAGTTGGAGCCACTGTGTTCGTAATCGGATAGGTCAGCAGAGCATTCGAGTAATCAAACTGAGAAATGACAAAAAGCAACACCCCAGCATCTTTATCAGAGGGGATGGATCTCACTTTGGCAATTCTTTTCAAATGATAAAGTGAGGCCTTTATAACGGCTAATGTGGGTAGCAAAACACAGTTTTAAATCCATAGTAATTCCCAAGCTTTTCAAAGTATTGGATGGAATCAAAAGATTACCATCAACAGAGCTTTCAATACGGGGTGAATGGGTTCAACTGTGTCTGCAGCCCACTGATAGCGCCTTCATTTGTTTTAAAGGATTTCCTTACGAGACAATTTGAAGCCATCCATAGATGCATTTCACTCAGCCCCGAGAGAGCATAGAGGCCGCCATCTCCGATTCATCATGAAGAGAACAACACAACTTAACGGCAGGTTTAGTGAGGCGGAGAGACAGCAGTTGGCATTGCAATGCTGACCGCATGACACCACAGTCCATTTGCTGGCTGCGCGACTTAAGCCAATATGTTTTGACTTGGTGCAGGTGACCTTTTTTAATGGGTGACCAGAGGACACATCATTTAGGAACCGCTTTAATAAGCTGGACTGCTTGTATGGGGATGTGCCTTAATGTGCTTGGCTTCGAGCATTTGCTCCTCCGTCCTGTGTGTACATGTCAACCTTGGCGGATTTGTGGGCTCGAGTATAACACTTCTCTGCCGACCCTGTGTACGGGTCAGCCATGAAAGATTTGTGCTCGTTATTTCAGAAAGCAGTTGCACTGTGCACTGTCCAACAATGGCGGAGCCAGGATTTTCAGGTAGGGGGGGGGGGCAACCCCTCCAGCAATGAAAAATGATAGAGGAGTTTTTAGTAAGTAAGGAGTTGTTAGTAAGTAAGGAGTTGTTAGTGAGTACGGAGTTGTTAGTAAGTAAGGACTTGTTAGTGAGGAGTTGTTAGTAAGGACTTGTCCCTTGCTCTTTACTCGACGCGTGTGCGGCGATGGAGCAGCCATCGATCGAGGGTCGAATTCGAACCGCATTGTGTGATCGGCATCGCGCTCGCTGAAGGTGTTGATGCCTTCAGGGAAGTCGTGTCCTGTATACGCAACTGGGCACAATTCTGTGAGTCACTTATAACTGCTTTGCCAAGCATCGGTTCACAAAGGGTTGTGTTAGGTATAGGGTTAACAACACCTGTCCTGGTTTTCCCAGGATTGCCGTCTGGATGAGGTGACCACCCTGGGAAATATCCTAAGTCTTCCCCGTGACGTTGACAATCCCCATTTTTACCAATTGCGTAATAGTGTTCCACTCACTCCTCTTCCAGTGTTGTGAGATATTTGTCCCATGACATGTTCATGTTTTTTTTATAGCTCAGAGGTGGCAACCCGAATTGGGTATCTAAATAGCTTAAAGATCTGTGGCTTGCAATGCTGAGCCAGTCTTCACGAAGTTGACAGATTCATTCCTTTCAGCCACTAGACAATTTGTGTAAATAATCATCCTGAAAATACCTGTATGTGTGGTATTGTAATTAATATACACACATTTAAGAAGTAAACAAAAATCACGAATTATTCAAGATTTTTGGTTTGTGTGTAGCAACTAAATATGTAATGATGCATCAAATGATTCAAAACGGATTCCCACACCTACTATACACACATCGGATAACGTGTGTGAGGATAAATAATGTATTCATGACTTTGGAAAATTATATACAGAATTATATGCCAATGGTGCATGTAAGCCAAACTGCAAAGGAGACAGAACACAACAGACACAATGCAGACAGAACGGTAAAAAAAAAATACCGCGCGAAAGAAAACCAAATTATTGAATAAAATTTGGACAACTGTTACGTGACTCGGAGCGACGCTGGCAGCTGCCACGCACGAAACCCTGCTCAGCCTACTTGGCTGAAACACTTTGACGCATTTAAAAAATATATATAAAATTTAGGTTAACCATTGTTGTGGATGCATTGAGCTGAGGTTTTAAAGGAAACCGGACAGCATGAATGTTTATTTCCACACTTGTTTTTCAAGTGTTCACAAATGCAATCGGGAAACACGTTCTGGCACTGCCACGCACGGCAGAGGGTGGCTGGGGCTAACACAGGGCTTTAGCTCTGTGGCGAGATGGTAATTTCCTCGCCTCGTATGCAGGAGGTCGTGGGTTCGATGTGGACCCTTGATGGCTGTATATTCCGGTTTTTCCCTCTACATTTAGAATAAACATGCGTTTAGAGTATTTGGCTGCTATAAATCTCCACGTGATAAGCCACTTCGTTGAGCTATCAGTTGTAGCCAGGTCGCTTCTGAAAAAGAACTATATAGCTCAGTGGGCCTTGCCTGGAAAAATATAGTTTAGTTTAGAAAATCTGTCTACCGGCTCCCACTAAAGCACGCCGTGTAGAGTAAAAGCTACTGAAGCCGAACTCGGCGAGAGAGCACAAGGTCACCATGAGCAGAACCATGCCCTTGGGCCTCCTGGTCTACCACGTGCTCTTCTAGCAGCAAACCTTGAGTTTTCTCATTTTTCGACATTATTAGTGTAATATTTTTTTTTTTTACAATTCATTAAAAACGGGTTTCATCCACCGCCCACATGCTTTCCAGCCGGTTTTGCTGTTCGAAATCTTGTCCCGACGGATGGTTGTCCGCTGGGATATACGCACCGTCAGACTCCGAGGTGGCTCGTATGATCAGGTAGCTGCTGGGGAAGGGCTGGGTTAAAGCTCCCACCGTCTCTCCTTCCGGGCCCTGGTGAGAAGTAATCGCACAGTCAACACCAGCAGCAAATGCGTACCTGTAACTAACACAAGCGACCATTTTTATTTTTGTCAGTCCACTGCCAGTTGAGGGCCTCCTCACACCGTGCAGGTCGTGGTGGCCATTTGACCACAATTTACCCTGCTGGTCAACACGGCTTCGTTACGGCGTAGAGCGTAGCACAGTACAACAATGGATATTGCTGCACCGCCCTCTGTTAATAACCACGTAACTCTGAAAGCCGTAGCAGCTCCTGGTTGTGCTTTTGAATCTCCGACCAAAGCTCTGTCCATGCTCATCGCCGCTTCACCTTAATGACGGCCGCCCTCTGGGAGATTTAGTGATGGGCGCATTAAGTAGGATCTCAGACAAAAAATAATCTATGAAATATGAAAAGAGAGCAAATGAATGTTTCAAGGGCCTCCCAAGCAATCGTTGTGAAAAAGGAGTCGATTTGTCTGCCGTTTGTTATTGTTCAGGTTGTGTTTGTAAATGCACTATGCACCGTTCCATTGTGGGGATAAAAGCTATTTTCAGAAAAAAATCAATTATTCAATGAAGTGCACTTGTGTAAGCTGCAAGGAACTATATCTACGTGCAGGAGTTAAATATATAAAGAGATAAATATGCATATGCGCTGCATACATGATGTGTAGCAAGCGAGCACCACGAGCTATTCCAGAACGCCTCATTCGAGCCCAGAACGTTGCACCTCCTGGCTTTGACATGCCTCGAAAACACCGGTGGTGTAACCATCAACTACATCGGAACATCAACAGGCCGATGTATTGATCGTTTCTGCGCAGATTAAATATCGTCCGTTCTATGGGGGGGGGGGGGGGGGGGATGTGTCAGGCGTACGTACGTAGGTGGGGGGGAGGGTGTAAAAAGTACGCGTGCGTACAGGGAGGGCAGGAGGTGTCAAGTTTTGAAATATTTTTGCGTACGTACTAAATGGATGGCTCCCAACAGGTGTATTTGATTTGATTGTATTTATTTTAGCAGGAAGGGCCTAATAAGCTCTTGGGCTCTATTTCACGGGTGCCTTGCGACAGTACAGATGTAATACAGCGCAAGTCTTCGTTACAATCACGGTTACGTAGGCTGTGATACATACGGCAAGTATCGGTACGTGCTTTACACATTACAGGAGCTCACACACACGAGTGTGGCAATAGTATGGTCGACGAACGCCCACGACCTGCATGGCGTGCGGAGGCCCTCATTCGGCATTGACAAAGGGGCCATACAGGTACACGCTCATCAGCGGCCTGCATTCACCTTCAGCCTGCTGACTGCTGGGTCTCCTGCTGGGTCTCCTGAACGTGCGGAGCATATATCTCTTACGGGCTGTACACTTGCACGTGGCACGTCAGGTGAGAGAATGAAGAAAACAAGCCCCGATGAATATCCGCACCTTGATGGCCCAGATGGACTGGTCCAGGGGATGGAAGAGCTTGAAGCAGAATCCGTCCTTCTTGGAGGGCCTCTCGATGATCTGGCACACATTGAGGAGCACGGTGCCCACCCACTGGCCGTGCTTGGAGCTCTTGTACAGCAGCAGCACGCCGGGCTTGAGCTCGCACCACAGCTTAGTCCAGCTCTTCAGAGAACCTCGGATCTGCGGGGGACGGCAGGGCGACATCGCCCGGCGTCAGTCTTGGTCTTTGTCGTCATCGTCGGCGGCACGTGGGTTGTCACCTGTTTGTGGTTTTGTTCAGGATTGTCCTCTTGTTGTGAGCTCGCTGCTTTGCGAGGAAACATGTAATTTTGTCCCCGGCAGTTAAACGTTTCTGGTTTTTGACAGTTGCATAATGATTTAACGTTTCCGGTATTGTGAGATGTTGTTAGTTCCATGATATGCTCCAATTTTGTGTAATTCAGTGGTGGCAACCCTATCATCATCATCATCATCATAGTCATTGTCATGGTCGTCATTAGGAATGGAACGATTCATCCTCCACTGTCCCCGATGTTTACATGAATTGTCGAGATTCAAGTTCACGGGTCAACCCAAGAATAGATTCCTTGTGGGGAACGGTATTGCCACTAGTGGCTGCAGCGTCACTTTTAACCCATTGCATTCAACACATACAAACTGCAAAAATATCAATACTTGCACACAATTGTATGCATGCATCATTAGCGTATTAATCAATGATAACCAATGCATCGTTCCACCTCTAGTCATCATCATCATCATCACAATCAGAATCAATGTTAGCATCATTTTATGAGTGTATGTGTCCTGAAGAGAATCTAGGTCGAGTTGCATAAACACAATTGAAGTGAACAAAATGTCCTTAATGTATATTTATTTGGTTAGAGGAAACTACGTTGTGTTCCATGAAACCTGGCCATCAACGCTAATTTGGTGTAATTTGATGTTTACCTTGAAATATTGGAATTTAGTTTCCATGGACTCCTCTGGGACAAGTAAAATAAAGAACTTGAGACGTTTTACTGGCAGTTTGCTGACTCCAGCGCAGAGGCTTTGGAACGCTGACCCAGTTCTTTCTTACTAGGCAGGCACATTACCCAGGATTGTGAAACAATACTTTCCGAAGTTTTTTTTTTCTGCTGTCAGGATTGTCCAAAACATTGATTTATTCTTCTTATAAAAAGAAAGCTTAACCCACAATTAGAAATGCATCAACATTTAAATATAATCAACACAATACTTGAGTAAGTATACAACACCAAATTGAAATTAATCTAAAGGGCCCTTTGTTACAGCTACAATAATGGATGCAAATGAGTGTGTGCTGGCAAAATGCCTCAAATTGTTTCGTGAATGACATTACAAAAAACAATCCTGGTGCTGCACTGCAACAGGGGAAGGCAAGCCATCTAGCTACCATGAGAGATTCGTTCATGAGGCTATCCACATATACAAACACAGAGACAATTTCAACCGAGAAGATGGATTCTGGCTTAGCAATCATTGGAAGGATTTGATAAACCATTTGGGGTCTTAATTGATTGTTCATGCTTACGGTGGCTTTCAGACTGCATCCATTATTTTCGTCTCCCCCCTCCTCTTTTCCGAACATAGATGGACTCGTCCATCTGAACAAACTGTCAAATCGCTCTCCGTGGTGCTAACGTAAAAAAAAAACGCCACTTTTCTAAAAAAAATCTTGCTGTGGTTTTCACACCTTATGATGATTGCTTGTGTTGCAGTCGAAACATCGTGAGAATTTTATTGTTTCATATTTTTATTATTTTATTGTTTCCCTTCTACGTGACTTTACCGAAAGAACCAAGAATAGGGGAAGGCGAGTTAAGCCACTTGAATGCCAATCAGCACAAACCTGAGAGCCCTTTTCACTTTACCTCCCACTTCTTGAGGATTCAGGAGGGCACTTCTAAGCCGTGGGGGCCAAGAGGCATTAAAGTCACTCTTGCTTACAAACATGTGCTCAATCGTGTTAGCTCTCAGAAGCTAAGCAGGTGTGAGCCTGGTTAGTGCTTGGACGGGTGACCACCTTGCATCGGATCTGAGGCTACGTTGTGGGCAGTAGACGGGAGTGGAGCAAGGGACATAGTTGTATTGTCATGTACTTCTATGGTCTCACATATACGCTCATCGTCTTCACCAACCTGCACTGACCAGCGTGGTTAAGTACTGCCAATCAAACCCACACGGCAGCCCGTCATCCAGCAGGGGATTGACAAACGGGCTTTACATGGACACATAAGCGGAACACTGTAGCCACCCTTGCAAATGAGACGTTACATCTCCAGGAATTATCCAGGTGTGTGAGGATGTGCCGAATATGGAAATAAAGATCCTGCTTAACCATCTCAATCTCCTCCTCACAGGTAAAAAAATATTACTATATATGTGTCCCCCATCTTTGGACCCAGGAAGTGCTGAGTTTGGGGCTTTAATCTGCGGAGTTTATGCACCGCCTCCCTTTGTTGCGGTTTATGTTGGGGAAAATATGTTTTATATATAGGCAGTTAAATAAATATATAAATAAATCACCGATATTCGTGCGTACCCACCTTCAGCCAGTCGGAGAGAATGACCACCGCTGGGTCTTTGAGTGTGCTGAGCATCTCTTTGGTGGCCCTCTTCTTCTCCTGCCTGTAGTTTTTCTTTTGCACCTGCGGTGAGAAGTCAGTGAGCCCCGCTGTGGTGAGGAGTCAGTGAGCCCCGCTGTGGTGAGGAGTCAGTGAGTGCCGCTGCGGTGAGAAGTCAGTGAGTCCCGCTGCGGTGAGAAGTCAGTGAGTCCCACTGCGGTGAGAAGTCAGTGAGTCCCGCTGTGGTGAGAAGTCAGTGAGTCCCTCTGCGGTGAGAAGTCAGTGAGTGTCGCTGCAGTGAGAAGTCAATGAGCCCCGCTGCGGTGAGAAGTCAGTGAGTGCCGCTGCGGTGAGGAGTCAGTGAGTGCCGCTGCGGTGAGAAGTCAGTGAGCCCCGCTGCGGTGAGAAGTCAGTGAGTGTCGCTGCGGTGAGAAGTCAGTGAGTCCCTCTGGGGGCTGCCAGGCCCTGCCCCCGAAGTGTTGGCCAGCACCTCCCCCCCCCCCCCCCCGCTTGCTGCAAATTGCACAATGCCACCCGCTTGCTTCCCGCCACTGCCTTGGGGAGTCTCTCAGCATCGGGAGAGTTTGATAGCCTCTTGTCTTTGGGCACATTTCATAGAAGGTTATGGAAAGAAAACGATGACGCAAAATAAAATAAAAAAAGAGCCAAAGTGATTTCCTGCTCAAACGAGCATTGAACGAGGCGGTGCTCATCTTCCGTTCCTGAGATAGTCGTGGAAATTCCACATTCCTATGGCAGGGGGGAGTCTCTCTATAGGACAACCGCTGTTGACTTCTCTACAAAATGGTACTCATGTTATTGACCCCAGAAGGATGATTGGCTGAGTCAACCCACCAACTAGGGTTTGGACTCGCAACCGCCCGATTGGGATACGCTCGCTCTGCCGCTGAGCCACTTGCATGTGTGCAGCCCTGCAATTGCTGACCTTAGACTTGCAAGAGATAAGTTGCCACAACGCGGCATAAACAAAGTCGGAGGCCAGCATTCTCTGCTTTTTCAAGTCGAACCAGGCGAATGCGTGCGTCTGACGCGATGTTTGTATCGGGTTTCCACGAATTAAAATGGTTTAAAATAAAACACGGTAACGACGTTGAACTGTGAATACCAATTGAAACTAGGTTGCCGTTTCGGATTTTTTTTTACAATATGGTGAACTACCAAGATAAGGACAATCTTACAAGAATTCACATTCGAAAGGCTACATGGCTCAAAAAAGCTCTGGGAATGAAAGAAAAAGTGCCCTTTTACAAATCTTTAGCCAAATTTTATTTTCGTGACAAAGTAAAGCTCGTTGTTTTTGCAGGTCACTCATTTCTAAGCAAGGCATTTAAGTCAATAGCAGGATATATTGGGCAGGCACAGGAGTTATTGCACCAGCAGCAGTGTTTGGATTGACGATCCAATTATTGATCGGTGTGCCAGTGCAACGTTTTGCAAAGTATAGAGATACAAAGCAGCACGGTTTGCGCACAATGGAATCGTTTTTTTCTGCAAGTCAGCAACTTACGTGTGCATGCCACCGTCTAGCAAAATGTATTCAAAATTACCAAATTCTGACTGCATTCTTAGAATAGCTGTGTGAATCAAAAGGTAAAAGTTTGGCCTGATGCGTGTGATTCGTTATTAACTGGAAGATTGCATGAGGTTATTTGGGCTTTACATAGTTTAGTAATTTTAAACCGACCTATCCATGATGAAATTTAAATACATTAATAACTATACATTTATTGTCTGTGGAAACATAATTGCATACACTGTAAAAGGAGCAAAGGGGCAGCCCTGCAATTTCCTTCTGAAGCCACTGCAGGTGGGAGGACCTCGACTAGAGTGAGCTCCGGACCAGAGTGAGCTCTGGAACAGGGTGAGCTCTGGACCAAGGTGAGCTCTGGACCAGGGTGAGCTCTGGACCAGAGTTGAGCTCTGGACCAGGGTGAGCTCTGGACCAAGGTGAGCTCTGGACCAGAGTGAACACTAGACCAGAGTGAGCTCTAGACCAGGGTGAGCTCTGGACCAGAGTGAGCTCTAGACCAGGGTGAGCTCTGGACCAGAGTGAGCTCTGGACCAGAGTGAGCTCTAGACCAGAGTGAGCTCTAGACCAGGGTGAGCTCTGGACCAGGGTGAGCTCTGGACCAAGGTGAGCTCTGGACCAAGGTGAGCTCTGGACCAGGGTGAGCTCTGGACCAGGGTGAGCTCTGGACCAGAGTGAGCTCTGGAACAGTGTGAGCTCTGGACCAGGGTGAGCTCTGGACCAAGGTGAGCTCTGGGACAGGGTGAGCTCTGGACCAAGGTGAGCTCTGAACCAGGGTGAGCTCTGGACCAGGGTGAGCTCTGGACCAGGGTGAGCTCTGGAACAGGGTGAGCTCTGGACCAGGGTGAGCTCTGGGACCGGGTGATCTCTGGACCAAGGTGAGCTCTGGACCAGGGTGAGCTTTGGAACAGGGTGAGCTCTGGACCAGAGTGAGCTCTGGACCAGAGTGAGCTCTAGACCAGAGTGAGCTCTAGACCAGGGTGAGCTCTGGACCAGGGTGAGCTCTGGACCAAGGTGAGCTCTGGACCAAGGTGAGCTCTGGACCAGGGTGAGCTCTGGACCAGGGTGAGCTCTGGACCAGAATGAGCTCTGGAACAGTGTGAGCTCTGGACCAGGGTGAGCTCTGGACCAAGGTGAGCTCTGGAACAGGGTGAGCTCTGGACCAGGATGAGCTCTGGACCAGAGTGAGCTCTGGACCAGAGTGAGCTCTAGACCAGGGTGAGCTCTGGACCAGGGTGAGCTCTGGACCAGGGTTAGTTCTGGGCCAGGGTGAGCTCTGGATCAGGGTGAGCTCTGGACCAGGGTGAACTCTGGAACAGGGTTAGTTCTGGGCCAGGGTGAGCTCTGGACCAAGGTGAGCTCTGGACCAGGGTGAGCTCTGGACCAGGGTGAGCTCTGGATCAGGGTGAGCTCTGGAACAGGGTGAGCTCTGAACCAGGGTGAGCTCTGGACCAGGGTGAGCTCTGAACCAGGGTGAGCTCTGGAACAGAGTGAGCTCTGGATCAGGGTGAGCTCTGGAACAGGGTCAGCTCTGAACCAGGGTGAGCTCTGGACCAGGGTGAGCTCTGAACCAGGGTGAGCTCTGGAACAGGGTGAGCTTTGAACCAGGGTGAGATCTGGACCAGAGTGAGCTCTGGAAAGCTTCCCTAGAGGATATTTTGGCCACACTGTCCAGACGTCTTGAAAATAGTTGGGGAGTACCCACACTTTACCCCACCACATGTGGTCTGTTGATCAACTGTATAGACTGTATTAGACATCAATAAAAACACAGTTGAATACGACTTTCAATTGATAGTGCGTAAATGTTCAGGTGTTTTTTCACACTTTATGTATTATTATTATTCACATATATTATAAACGTCTTGCGTTGAAAACACAGCCTGTTACGATTCAGGCGTGAAGGCTTAACACGTTTAAGCGTCGACACGTCTCTACGATCATTCCCAGGATCAGTAAATAAAATTCTGTCCCTGCAGGGCGTTAGCTAATTACATTCCCTACCCTTTCTTCAGATTATTTATAACACAGGCGGGCGGGGGGCGGGTGTGAAAGAGAGAGGAATTTGGGGGGGGGGGGGAGTCGGATCTCGGGCAGTGGTTGAAGGGGTATAAAGAACAGTGTAAGTGCGCGGCTGAGAAATCACGAACTGGCGCGCGCTTGTCTGCAGCACGGCGGCTGACCAATCGCGCCGTCCGTTTGACGTTCGGAAACGAGGAGCAATTTTGACTTAGAACTTTCGTGACTGCAGGAATTCATATTCTATGGTTCTTTCGGTAAAGTCAGGTAGAGAGAGAGAAAAAAATGTATTATAAAATAATAAAAATTAAAAAGAGTGAATAAAACATATATCTTTCTATTATTATTTTATTGTTATTCTTTTTTCTATCTACGTGACTTTACCGAAAGAAACATAGAATAAAAACAACTTTAGCGCTGGCAGGCTGCACTCGTTCGCCCCTTCAAATCGTCGAGCCGCCGGCCGGCCGGACGCTCTCCACGCACAACAGCAACGACAACAACAACCGCCATTCGCCCACTTAAGTGGTGGTGACGTCACCACGGCGTTTGTGCCAGGCTAGGTGCACTTTAAGTGCCACGTGAAGTGTCGAACGCCCGCTGGCAGGAGGTCACGGAACAGACCCAGCAGGTGCCACGGGTCGACTGACTGAGATGACTGAGATGACTGGCTGATGCACCACCTGTGCCCCCTACTGTGCCAACTTTGCTGCGTTTTAGCCGCCCGGCGCTCCGCTCGTTGTTGTGAGCGTCGCTCCTCTCTGCCCTCGGCTGTCGCTTGGAGGGCGGACTGCCTCCAACTGCGCACGGGGTCACTGACGGAACGCGCTTGCACGGTCGAGTCGTCGGCGGCCTTCGCCCACGGCCACTTACTTTGAGGGTCTCCTTCTTGGTGAGCTTCTGGTGTGAGGGTGTGCTGCTCTCCTTCTCGAGCGCATTGTACAGCTTAGACTCGGACTGCGGAACGGACAGAGAGGGTCTTGAGTGTTGAGTCGATGATTCGTTAGAACTGCTTTTTTGTGTTTTAGTTCGCAGTCCTTTCCCCTACCCCGCGCACCTCCGATTGTACCTCCAATTAACGCGGTTGGCTACGTACGGTGCGAAAGAAGTTCAACATACATACATACAACATACGCTTACACGGATGACGGTCCCGTTTAGCCAGTTGTCCTGCTATTTTGCACGGGAGATGCGTGGTGCGTGAGCTTAGCAGCAACGACAAAACAAAAGATACAAAACAAACCATCAACGTTGCAGAGAACGAGTACAGGGTGCTTCAGGAATATTTCACAATGAACAAGCGAATAACAAAACAACATAACTGTGTCAATACAGTCTAATACGAGAGCAAGAGGCACCAGAAATGGTTCGGGACAGGTGCAAGTCATCCAACGTGAATTAAGACACTGCAACGGCAGTGGTATTCAAGCACAAACAACAACAACAGCAGCAACACCTTAATCCATTGAAATCGATTCCTGGGCTCAAATTACTACGCATCGAACCGACGGGTGTGAGGATTAATTATTCAAGCGCCGTGCAAATGTACGTGCAACATCATCCGTCAATTGATGGCACAGACCGTCAGCTAATTAATTCCTCTGGTGATGCCCTCCTGTGATCTTGATGGGCAGCAGTTGATTCTGTGTTGTCCTGTTCTGCTCCACAGTTGCAAATGTTACATGCTAAGTGTAGCAGGTGTAAATTATATGCTATTATTAGATGTTAAATGATATGCAATGTTTGTAGGTGAAAATTATACGCTATTATTACAGGTGCAAATTGCATGCTTTATTACAGTTGCTGATTATATGCTGCTATTATTATTACATTTAGTCGAAAATAATTTACGAGATCATATAAATGGGGACACAACAAATAAAAAGAAATGCAAACGAGATGGCAAACGTTTAACGCACAAAATTGTTATTGAAGTGAATTGCGATCCAGAAGCTTGACACATTCACCAATCACTCTGAAATCGCGATATATCTTACCACAGCCCCCAACTCACCGGCTATCCTGCCACTTTGCCTTACAATAGTCTCATCTTAATAAAGAATTAAAGCTTTCGTGACTGCATAAATTACTCATTGTTTTTTTCGGTAAAGTCACGTATGTAGAAATGGTTTGGATCAGACTTTCTCCAGCGAAACGATTACACATCAGAAGACCTCTTCATCAAGTTAAAGGTCTGAACCCAGGAAAGATAAAGATTCCAGCTTGACCGTGCCTCTCCTTAACGCTCTGACATCAAACCGCCAAAGGGCGTCCAAGATTCTGAAGTCGATATCGATCCTGAGCTTGCCCCCCCCAACCCCCTAGAGATTGATAAAGTGTCACTATTCGCAATAAATATTCTGTTCAAGAATCCATTTTTCTCATTGCGAACCCATTATTATATATATACAACATACCAGACTAAGAAAATATTCTTTACACACGCAATTTAATGCGTGCAATTTTCAGATTAAGAAATTGTATTAATTGGATCGATGCATTCATTATTCCTCCCCCCCCCCCCCGTAATAATATACACGGAGGGTAAAGTGTCTGCACGGTTGTTAGCGCACGATATTGCGAACCCAAATTCCTGGCCACGGCCACCATCAGTGCCGAGTGAGGTCCACACCGGTCTTGGGGACTCTCCTGCACCAACCCGCACTCACCAGGGTGGCGAAGTGCGGCCAAACAAACATCCATGACCCACACGGCACGGGGAGGCACTCATTCGTAATTGGATTGACCAAGGGGGCTACGCCTCGGGAGCGTTCACGGCCGAGACGAATGTTCTCGGCAGTGGCCTACCTCCAGGGCACTGCGCTGCATCGGTCACACTCGAGGGAGTGGGAAAAGGTGGGGAGGCGTTGTACGGTGCCCCGCACGCTCCTTTTAACGAGAGCCCGAATGTTACAAGTCTTATATCGTGCGCAGACACCGCATTGCCTTTGCGGGTTCTCATCTCTCGGCCTGATTTGCTGTTTTCCTCCCCCCCCCCCCACCCCCCCAATGCACGTCGGGGTGCGTTATATTTTGTATCTGGCAAATCTCGTGCAATTTCTCTTCACCTGTTTCGCGACCAATGTTGTCCATAAGAAATGTTTTTTTTTTGGGTGAGACCGAGTAAATATTAAATGTGTCTTCTTTGGTTCTTTCGGTAAAGTCACGTAGAATGAGAATAAAATAATAAAAGAGAACAATAAAATTCTCACGACGTTTCGGCCACAACACAAGTGGCCTTCTTCAGGTGAAAGGAACAAACCTGTCGGGACGACAGAGCTACAATGAACTCTGCTAAGATTCGCAGCGTCTTCTAAGCTATGTGAGAGAAGTGAGGCACCTTGACAAAGGGGTTTACATATCAAACAGGAGAATTTAGCATTGAAACAGTTGAGGGATTAGCTTGTGACTGGACACAGAAATAGCTATGTTAAAGTCAAAGCCTACACATCCATAGAGGCACCTCGTACATGGACGCCAAAGGGGCTGCAACAACTCAACTATCATACAGTTAACCGATGTGAAAAAAACCTAAGTCTAAATTACATCAATATAATAAATGTACTCAATATATTCTTCAATAAGCAGAGCTATTAACAGCAACTGGGTATACACTACACTATATAATGAATACCATATAGTAAACAGATAAAAAAAACTAAAATATAAACTACCTCAATGTTATCAATAAACTCTATATATTCTCCAATCAGCTGAGCTACCAACAATAAGTCGTTATATATCACGATGCTATATGGCGGAAAAATGGGTGGATTCTTACCCTCCACATCAGCCCCACATATACAAGCACAGAGACAATTTCAACCGAGAAGATGGATTCTGGCTTAGTAACCATTGGAAAGATGTTTTAAACCATTTCGGTTCTTAATTAATTATTTTATGGTGACCTTCAGACCGCAGCTCTTTCGCTGGCATTGACTCTTAATATTTCTCACACCACGGTTAATGGTATGGTTTATAACATGATTATAACAGCACCTCGCAGCTGTTTCTCTCCTCTGTTCCGACCATGATGGACTCGTCCGTCTGAACGGGGCTCGTAGCTATCCGTGGTGCTAAAGTTGAGGGTAAGAATCCACCCATGTTTTCGCCATATAGCATCGTGATATATAACGACTTATTGTTGGTAGCTCAGCTGATTGGAGAATATAGAGTTTATTGATAACATTGAGGTAGTTAATATTTTAGTTTTTTATCTGTTTACTATATGGTATTCATTATATAGTGTAGTGTATACCCAGTTGCTGTTAATAGCTCTGCTTATTGAAGAATATATTGAGTACATTTATTATATTGATGTAATTTAGACTTAGGTTTTTTCACATCGGTTTACTGTATGATAGTTGAGTTGTTGCAGCCCTTTTGGCGTCCATGTACGAGGTGCCTCTGTGGATGTGTAGGCTTTGACTTTAACATAGCTATTTCTGTGTCCAGTCACAAGCTAATCCCTCAACTGTTTCAATACTAAATTCTCCTGTTTGATATGTAAACTCCTTTGTCAAGGTGCCTCACTTCTCTCAACCAGCTTAAAAGACGCTGCAAATCTTAGCAGAGTTCATTGTAGCTCTGTCGTCCCGACAGGTTTGTTCCTTTCACCTGAAGAAGGCCACTTGTGTTGTGGCCAAAACATCGTGTGAAATTTGTTGTTTTATTTTATTATTTTATTCTCATTCTACGTGACTTTACCGAAAGAACCAAAGAAGATGAATCCTTGCAGTCACGAAAGCTTTAAATCGAAAAATTAAATGTGTCGTTAACCCGCCACCACCCGACACCCAAAGAAGCGTGGAGAGATACGCGCTTGGAATTGATGAGTGCACATGCTAAAGTAAGAGACATTGCGTTGACTGTTCGGAAAATTGAATTCACTTGGGAGAAGCACGTCGCTATTGGGGATGATGGTCGGCGGTCAAGACGAGTGACTGAGTGGCAGTCAAAGGAGGCAGCACCGCGAAGATGGAGCGATGAAAGTAGCTCATGTGCACGTGCTCTGTACACGTGCTAGATGGATTGCTCTATCACAAGATCGTGAGAAATTGCAGCGGGAGGCCTCCCATCCAGCAGTGAAAAGAACATGGTTGATTATTATTATGGTGAAGGCAATGTTTTTGGTGAACGTGGTGAATTTATATATTTTGTTATTTATGTTTGTGCCCCACTCTCTATGAATGTCCTCGCATTATTGTTTAACTATCAGTCAAGGCCTCTTCATTTCCTTCCCGAATTGCACATTCTCTCTCGCTCTAACTTCACTTCCTCCTTTTTCTCCACCACCTCTGTTTCCTCCCACCATCATTGTTTCCACTCGTAATACCTGGCCATAACATGCGATTATATACCTGGCATATGTCCAGATATGGCCAATTGGGTAAAGATACATAACAGTGAAATGGTCAAACCTGAATGTGCAAGTACATGAAAGGTCCCACTCCGAACACAAACTCCTGAATAGATGCATTGTGAAGCATGCTCTTTACATAATTGTAAATATTCGTTAATTGTATCAAGGGGACATTCAAAGGCTGCGAGAGCCCAACAAATGCACTCTTATGGGCAAAGACACAATTCACAATACACTCAGATTGCATTAACATTGTTTCCAAAGTCAGCAATAATATGTTCCATTTAAAGGCTCAGATGTTGAAGATGTTCAGTTAAACACTTTTATAATGCACCTTTATTGCACGGTCCATTGTCAGTTACATCATGCATTGCGTTTGCACAGGCCTTATATAAATAGCACATTCCATCAAAACCTGACAGCCAGTACATAATCAAAATCATTACGTAGCCTCCATTTATTGTTTTTAAACAGACGAAGATAAATATCCCCTGTACAGCCTATAGAGACTATTGAGGAAAGCCAGTACGTCAGTGTCTTTGTCTTTTCCAGTGCCAATTGATGTTCACACACCGTGCCAGGTACTCATTTAAGTCTGAGTCAACCTGGGTGGAGGCCCAGGACCGGTTCAGACATTCGCCACCGATGTTGGCCATGGGCGGGAATCGAACTCGCATCTCCAGGTTCGCAGCGCAGGGCGTTGACGACTACGATCCCGCTCCCCACATTTAACCACGGACACACACGCGCGCGCGCACGCACGCACAAATAGATTACGGTGCAAATGTGTGGAGCATAAAAAAAAACCAAAGCGTAACGCTCACCAAAAGTGGAGTTAGGACCATGCTTCGCACACAGACCTGGGGAGAAGGTGCGTCGCGGAACGCATTTACAGACGCTGCTGCTGCAGCATCGGCAGCAGCAGCAGCACAGCAGCCTGGGCTTGGCGTTACGCTGGCCGTGAAGAATGCGTAGACGCTAGAAAGCAGCGTAGGCGTGCGCTAGACGCCACGCCTGCTCGAGGGTGGGGGTCGGCGGTGGGCTACGCCGCCCTCCGAAGACGCGAATACCCGGAGACGATCGCGAGCTTCTTTGTGTGCTCGAGCGGATGCGATGCTGCCCTTCGTGTCTTGCACCTCCTGTCGCCCTACCTACCTCCCTGCCTCCCTCCTTCTCGCCGGCCTCGCCGGCTCGGTTGGATTGTGTCGATGCGCAGCGGCTCCCGCGGAACGTTCTGGCTTTGCGGCATCCAATGAAATAATAAAAACACAAAACCTCCGCTGCCACCCCCGGTGATGAATTGATCACGACACCCGCACACATTGTAAGCTGGAGATTGGATGCCTTGCCCCCCCCACCCCACCCCCACCCCCCCCCCCCCGACAATAAATTATATAAATTCTGGCACAACAGCACGTAGATGTAAACGCATATTTGAATTGCAGTGTGCAAAAATGTGTACGATACATTATGCATAGTTTGTGATTTAGGATATAAAAGTGTCGTGCGTCTTTGTCATTGGAATAATATATTGCATCACACTGCGAGTCATTGGCAGATATAAAGGTGCAGCGCTGCAATTTCTTGTTTTCACCACCGCTACTGCTGGAAGGGCTTCCCCCTAGAGCAGCGGTGAGGAACCTTTTTTTCTGCCAAGGCCCATTTGGATATTTATAACATCATTCGCGGGCCATACAAAATCATCAACTTAAAAATTACATTTGGTCAAACATTTAATTAACTCGCCCATAATGCGATGGCTGGAAATGCTTCTCTTTGGTGAGGCGTGTGATGATGTTAGCCGGTATTGACGATGTTGCTACTCGCAACTGCTTTTCCAGGTTTGCTCCTGGATTGATTGAATTTCGAGTCCCGCCTGCGGTTGCCTTGGCAGGGCCAGAGACCCAAATGATTTCGCGGGCCTCATACGGCCCGCGGGCGGGACGTTCCCCACCCCTGCCTTCGAGGCAGCCCGAGAGATACCCCCTCTCGTGGCTATTTTGGCCCTCCTCTTCCACGCTGGTGGCAAGTAGTGACACTTAAACGCCACCACAACACTCGACCTGCTGCTGAATTGACCAACCCGTGGCGCGCCCGCTTATGCAGCTGGGCGGACAGAGGCTAGGGAATTTGAGAACATTTGCAGCTCGTTTCAACCGCGGTGGCAAGAGATTTAACCCGCAGACCTCCGGACTGCAAGTCCAACGGGTGCCATGCTCGCTACTGCTATGAAGAAACTAAACATCGTGAACTTGGGAATGACAAAAACACATTGCACGAGAGACCCTCGGGAGATGCAGATTGAGTTGGGCGCTGCCCCAATTACTCATACGAGCAGAGAGGACCCTTCGATTTGACCCGAATCCAACGGTGTCACAACAATTGCCAATGAAAGACCCAAAGAATATGAATTCCTGCAGTCACGAAAGCTTTAAGTCAAGACTTAACAATGATTTAACAATCTCCTTTATCTCTCCACCTGAGGAAGACCGCTTGTGTCACGATCGAAACGTCGTGGGTTTTTCGCTTTTACTTTTGATTTTTGTTCTCTATCCACGTGACTTTACCGAAAGAACCAACAATATTTAACAATGTGTTGAAACTGATTTTGACCTAACCAATTGGCACGCGGACGACGGAGCACACGGCATTTAACTCCACCAGCTGTGCACGCTGGCACGAACCTGGGTTCTCAGCTCGCTGGTTTTAACGTCGGGAATCGAACGTGCGGTCGCTGGATTCCTCGCAGAGTGCGCAACGGAAAACCGCGCCATCCCCCCCAGACGTCGTGCCAGTGTCAAGTTGCCGACGCAATGCGTTTACTTTCCTTATCACGACAGCCGTGCTGTAACTTATTAGAGTGTGGGGAGGGCGGGGTTGTTATAGCTGCTGCTGCTGCTGTTGCTTTAAATGTTTTTTTCCGACGATGTGACTTCCGATTGTCCTAAACATTCCGGGTAAGAGAATGAAAGAGCGCGGCACACACACACAACACAACACGTGCCTTCTGGGAGAGCCGCTCGTTGCGCATGATTTCGCAGCGCTTTGCCGCTCGGGACACAGAGAGCCGCCTGCCTCCTTGGCAGCCCCGCCACGCGGGAATACGTTCAATTAAAATACAGATGGGCGAAACAGTTCAATGGATAGACTCTGAATTCGGTAAAGTCACGTAGGTAGAAATAAAATTAAATAAAACTTCTACCCACGTGACTTTACCGAAAAGTCACGTTATTTTCTACCTACGTGACTTTACCGAAAGAACTAAAGAGTATGGATTCCTGCAGTCACGAAAGCTTCAAATCATGACTAGACTGAATTACTGTCCATTAATATGCAGTGCAGTGCTGCTGCCACGCCGGAATGGTTAGCAGCACACTGGACTTGCAATCTAGAGCTCACTGGTTTGATTTCCCGCCGCCGCAATTGAAAGAGTTTATTTAATCACATTTAGTCGATTAGCGAGTCGCATGCGGTGGGGTAAAGTGTGGGTACTCGCCCCGCTTCCAAGGATATCCGCTCAACGTGGAAGAGTAGGCCAAAATATCTTCTATGTAGGTTCTGCACAACTCCCTTCTCGTGTAGATCCTTCCGCCGACAGTGGAGTGAGCAAGCTATATCAGGGCTGCACCTTTAGCATTATTTAAATGCAGTTCCTATGACCATATCGCCCAGATTGCACCCTTGTCTTGTCAGATCTCGATAGCTAGGCAGGGGCGAGCCTGGACTGTGCTCGGATAAGGAACTGCCATGCATCACAGGTGTTACAGGATGCTGCAGGGGCTATGCATTGGGCAGCAGAGGGCAGTGTAGCAAACCCCATTGTTTTTACTGTAGCAGTACTGTGTGTTGTTACTCGCCCATCCACACTCCCCAGATTCAACTAGCATGGTGAAGTATGGTAACATCGCCTACACGATCTGCAAGGCATGGGGAGGCTCTCATCTAGCAGCAGGCCGTGGTGGCGGATTGGGGAGAGGCCTTCATCCAGCAGCGGATTGGCCATGGCTGATGATGATGACACAACAATGAGGTTTTCATTCAGCCTGAATTTGTCATCAACTCCATCTCCCCCCCCCCCCCCCCCCCCCCCCAACTTTCATAATCTTAAATTTTGATTTAAAGCTTTCGTGACTGCAGTAATTCATATTCTTAGTTTTTTCGGTAAAGTCACGTTGAAGAGAAACAACAAAATAATAAAATATATATAAAACAATAAAACATTCTCACGACGTTTCGACCGTTTGAGTTATGGTCGAAACGTCGTGAGAATTTTTTATTGTTTTATATATATTTTATTATTTTGTTGTTTCTCTTCAACGTGACTTTACCGAAAAAACTAAGAATATGAATTACTGCAGTCACGAAAGCTTTAAATCAAAATTCACCTGAAGATGACCGTTTGAGTTATGGTCGAAACGTCGTGAGAATTTTTTATTGTTTCATATATATTTTATTATTTTGTTGTTTCATAATCTTCTTAACGATAACGTAATTGATCTGTGCTAACAATCAAATATAGTTTAATTAGGAAGTATTTAAGTAGCTTTGGTGCTTTCGTGACTGCAGGAATTAATCTTTGTTTTTTTCGGTAAAGTCACGTAGAAATATGATTTTACCGAAAAAACCAAAGGTTAAGTATTTAAGTACTGAACGGAACATTGTATTTGTGTGGCAATGGAACAACATGGACTGTATGAATATGAATACACACTCTCGAGTCTTAACGGTCACCTCAGTTTGACCCGAGATGCTGATGACATTTCATTTTTTCCACAAGCACACGAAAGCCCTGGGGAAGCCAATGCGATTAAAGTGTAATTCTAAGGTCAAACAATTTCAAGGGAAATTACATAACCTGACAAAACGTCATCTGAGGATGAGGCGGGGGTATGGTGAATGTCTGCAAGGGTTTAGAGGAGGGTGCCACGGTGGCTAGGAGATGTTAACTACCTCGCCTGGTGTACAGGAGGTCGTGAGTCCGATCCCGACCCTGACGCCTGCTGTATATTTGGAGTTTGCCTGTCTCTCTCCCCGTGGTCGCGTGGATTTTCTCCCGGGTCCGCTGGTTTTTCCCTCCACATTTAGAATCAATGTCACGCGTTGAGAGTATTTGGCTGCGATACATTTCCAGATGATAAACAACTTGGTTGAGCTATCATTTGTGGCCTGGTCGCTTCTTAAAAAATACCTATATAGCTCAGTGGGCCTTACCTTTTAAAATTAAAATAATTTTGAGTTTATTTTAGTTACAAACATGATGTGGAGGTGAGAGGTGTGGGTTTATTTTTTTTTACATGGTTGCTGAGCACAGGCCCAAAGGCCCAAAGGCCAGACGTTCCTGTTGGCCGGAAACCAATAGTAATAATGAAGGTGTAAGAGATAAGGATTGATGCATTATTCTTAAATTGTGCATGGTTAAAAGAACTGGGAAAAGAGACGAAAGTGGGGGTGGGGAGGGGGGAACATCCAAAGTCGAGCGGTGCAAAGGAGCAGAAATAGAAAGCGCTGGTGACCTCCGGTGTGGTGGTTGAACACGGCATGGATGAGACGAAACGGTCAGTCTGAGAGTGGATGCGAACTGGCATCAGTTCATGGAGCCATAGGACACCCAGTGAGGATTCACGTCCCCAGCAAATTTGATGATCTGTCACAATTTGGCATCGTGATGCGATCCAATAATTACTTCTTCACGAGTCTTATGAATAGCATCTCACAGGCTAGAGTTTGTCATTTGTCCTGTCGTATTTGTACAGTATTGTGCAGTTTCACCCTTTAGTATTATTTATTTGTATCTTATATAACTTGCGCACAGTACATTGAAAATAATCCATTTTCATTTGCACGTTTCAATGCTTGTGCCCTAATCATGAAAATACTTTGTAATAGAAAACATCAACGCAGTGATTATTTGCTTAATCACCCTGTAGGGTCGTAGGAGGGCAAAGGTCTAGGCTGACAGGGTGAGGGACAGTGCCGGATTATCCTCGTTGCAAAAGTAGCTACATATGTAGTAGCAACGGGCCCCGCACTTCCAAGGGCCCCGCGCTAAATGCTTTCCAGCTATCAATTCCGGTTCAGTGATTCTGCACTTGCTCTATTACTATAGTACTATACTGCCTTCAACTTTTATGAACGACCGGGTGTTTAAGGCTAGAGATTTTTCGTATTATCTGGCCGTATAGCAAATGAAAATCGAAAAATACTTTACTATGCAAGTAAAAAATGTGTGTTTTAATATTGACGTTATTTTTTTTAATTTCGGGCCCCTTTATAACATATGCTGCAGGCCCCACAC